GGGTGGGACCGACTATAATGAAACACACCATTGTATTTTTTATTTTCAGAAGTTTCGATATTGCAATTCTTCCTTCTCATTTTTATTTCTTGTTACTCAGATAACAAGAAACAAAAAAGGAAGCGAGACACGCCTCAATGTCCTGACTTTAAGATGACTTGCCAACCTGTTGGACAACCTGAGGTCTTTTCTTCTTCGTTTCTTCCCTCCTCCCTCTCCCCCCCCCCCTCTCCTGATGAAAGACCTGGGATGTCGAGCGGGACATTAATAATTCGAAAACATACAATAATTGTGTGTTTCATTATGTCCGGTTGATAAGCAGAAATCATAGAGCCCTTTATCTGTGGTTATACAAAACATAATCGGTATCATCTTATCGTCATTAAATATACACTGGGTCTGCACTGCATGTGAAAAAAAACCGAGTTGATATATTTAAACAATAAATATTCATCATTGAATCGAGGCAAACCACTCCCTCTTTTTTAAAATATAAATAATTACAAAATCTTACATTACATTTTTATCATATCTAAACTGCCTATCAAACATTAAAGTGAACAACGAACTAATAATGTTATCTTACAATTAATAAGCAGTCGTATATGGTCAATAACATTACAAAACTTGGAAATATAATGGATATTATCAATTATTTCCAAAAAATAAATAAATAAGGAAGAGTAAACAATCAATCTTACTGTGTAATCTGGAAAATCTGGCTATTCGCTCAAAAATAGATAGACCTTATCCTGCACTTCTTGTAGATACGCATTAATTTAATATTTATTTATTTATAACTCTAACAGCCAGTTAAGCAATACGAATGTCTGCCGTAGTGGATAGCCACACAAGTATGCATAACTATCCACAACTGCAATCAAAACAATTAGATTTTTTTTTCCTTTCTGAGCACACATATTCTTCTTCTGCTTGCTTCACTTCACCGTCTTGTTCTTTTTGCTTTAGCTCCTACACTTCACCGTCCACTTGTTCTTTCTTTAGCGACTTCACTTCACTGTCCTCTTCTTTTCGCTTTAGCGACTTCACTTCACCGTCCTCTTCTTCTTGCTTTAGCTACTACACTTCACCGTCGTCTTCTTCTTGCTTTAGCTACCACAATTCACCGTCCACTTCTTCTTGCTTAGTTATTACACTTCACCCCCTCTTCTATTATCTTTAAAAGCTTCTTCTTCTCTACTCAAATAGAAGTGAGTCGGTCGGGCCAATTCTATCTTTCCACCCGTGAATAATGCCTTATGGTAAGGGTAGTTCTCCATGGTCATCGGCTGAGGGAGACGGCGCTTCGATAGAATGTAGAGACCGGTCTCCCTCAGTAACTTGGTCCTCAGTGCATGATAGATGTAGATGATGTTCGGCGGTGTATGGTACCCCACAACTTGGGCATAGGGTATCCCTAGGATCTCTTATAGACATCTTACCCAAATTCGGTGGTCATTTTGATAGTCCCCGCCACCTCATCTCCTCACCCCCTCTCTCCAATCTGAACCTGAAGTACTTTTTGTTATTAGTTTAGTAAGTTGTTGTTGTTTTTTTTTGTGCTTTCACTTACCTATATATGTAATATATAGTAAGGGAATGTATTGCGATAGTGAAAATTTTCGAATCTGAGTTTTCAATGGAAATACACGTTTTGAGGTACCCTGAGTTGAAATGACCAAGTCCCAAAAAATGGTCTGTGTGTTTGTAGGTTAGCAGTCGAGCTCAAAAACGAAAAGTCGAACGAAACTGATATTACATATTTAAGGTAGGTATATGCCTCACATGTGACAGCAACTTTTTCCTTAAAATCGGCTAACCTGAAGTGACACTTTATATCACTGCTTTACAATTTTCTAGAAAACAGCTCTAACGATTTTGATTAAACTTGGAGTATCATTGTATAATGAAGTTGTCTTTAAAATCAATCAGGTCATAACCCCATTGATGTCACTTTACAGAGCTTAAATGTTCAATGTTCATATACGTCTTCCTCTATAGTACCTTTAATATGGTTTATTTTAAATAATTAATCATCTCACATTATTTATAGTTACGAAAAAAATACTAAATATAACTTTTGAAAGAATTTTATAATTGAATAAAGGAGAAAAAAATAAAAATGCTTATCCAGATCGAAATTGAATCTCCGGAAATACTAGTCAGAAGGTAAACGTATAATATATAGTTGGAAAGCGGAGCATTTTAGAAGAAAAAAACAATATCTAATATAGAAAGTCGTCAAAGGTAATGGAGAGTGGCGAAAAAAATATAAATAATAATTTCTAAAAACTAATATTATTTAACATAAATCACGTTCAATGAAATTAAATGAAATGTTCTTACTAAATGTAAACTTTTAACATTTTTTTTTTTTTTAGTTTGAAAAAGTATTTAAAATTCACGGATTCAAGGCAATGTCACTGATACTATTTCATTGTACTTGTATGAAAGAAGAAGTGAGAAATAAAAATATTTCATGGATGTTTATAACCTTAAATATATTTACTGTATTTTTTTAGGGTTCTTGAATAACTCTAGATCTGATATTATATTTAAATAATTAGTTATCTATCGTTTGTTTATTCCGAAAAATCATCATGTAACCTTTTAGAAAATTGAATTAGTGAATAATTTGTTGAATTTTTCCTTTGTGATATTCCCACAGGCAACTTTTGACCAGTCTATGACAGGCGATGTAAATCTCTTAATTGCATTTTAGCAAACTTTGGGATGAAAAATAACTGTTTAATAACTAATTGTCGTACAATACATAATCAACGGATCGTACAATCCATAATGAACCGGTGATGTAGTAATAGGACTTTTGTTATTTTAATGGTATTTATTATTTGTTAGCTATAAGCTTTTAGCTTTAGCTCGGTTAAAAATGCAATTCAAAAATTTTATAACAGCCCAACATGGCCAGAAAAGAATTTCCATTCAAAGTTGAGCGGTATGTGAAAGTTGTGCGTTGCGCGCACCAGATTTTTTTATTTATATTCTTGGTGATTACTAAATTTTTTAAGTTTGGATATTTTAGATTTTTGCACTCATATCTGCATACCGCTTAATCTTTTAATATCATATACGCTACTCTAAATTATCATCTCTTAAACTAAGGGTGATTTAATAGAGTGAAGATCTTTTCTTCAATGTTTTTCCCTCACAAATTAAAAGATTTATTTCCATAAAAGTCTTGTTTTTTAAGATGTTGTGGCTGTGACTATTCGTAACTTAGCGATAACCGAAGCATTTCAGTTTAATGTTCAATAATTAATTTTTAAAATTTGCAGATGAAAACAACTGACATTGGTAAGCCAGTTTCTGAGCAGCATTCAAATGCGTTTTAATTTTACATTTGAAACATTTGATTCATATTTTTGTAAATTTTGTAAGACTGCAATTTGTATATTTTTCTGTTATATTCATTTATTTATTTTTTAAATACTGTCATTTGTCTGCAATTATTCAAACTACCGTTATGTTATGTTAGCTTTCACGACTTTGAATGTGCAATACATGCTATATGCTTGTGTTACTATATACTATATACCAATTTTCCATATAAATATGTAACAAAATATAAGAATTGTGTAAGAAACAAATTCTGAAAATTAATGAAAATGTAATATAAGGACGAATATTTTAGAAATAAAACACATAAAAATACAAAGCTTCCCGACCTTCGGTAGTGAGGAAGCAAAATTAAATTATTTAATAATTTATGAGACCATTTTTATAGGTATAATAAATATCTATATAAGTATGTATTTATAATTGAATAAATTAAAACGAATATAGAAAACATTAATTAATAAAATATGAAACTTTGCTCCTTAAAATTATTTACAATTACATATGTACATTTTCAAATGTAAAGTTAAGTCGGTCTAGAACTAAAATATTTTTATTTATGCTGTAAGAAAGTTCCTTTTTTCCTTGAGTAAGTTTGTTGAAATTTGCTGTGTTACTTGAGATCGTTGATTAGTTGGCACTTTTGTTTCCTCAACTATCCTAACACAAAGCAAATCATCGATTCCGCCAAAAGTACTATTACAAAATTCTCAAGTGTATTTCAACATTAGGGCTTTTGAGATCAATTTTATTTTTGGAATTTCAACAAAGTAAATTGAAGAAGTTCTCTAGAACACTTCACGGTCTGAAATGTTATGTACATTCTGTGCTGTAAAAAGATATCAGATTTTGCGGCTTAGGCATATGAAGGTGAGTTAAGACATTTCACAAACTATGGGACAAACAAATATACAAATGGTTATTTCAATATGCTAGCATTGTTGCTTCTTGTGTTTGACATTTTCCATCATCTGTCGGTATCAAGAAAAATGGAATAAATGGTTTGGTTTAACAAAAATGTCGCTAGAAGTTCAGTTAAATTCCAAATTTCTCGTTTAAGTGTTAAAATACATTCAATATAAAAAATGAAAATAAAATAACATTTTTTATCTTCATTTTTAATCTCTTAAAATAAATATGGAGAAAATTGAATAAAATAAATAATGCTTTATTTGCTTTTAACGTAAAATAAAATGCTGAAGAAGGGTTTACAAGGCTTAGAAAAAAACAAACATATAAATACTTACAAATCCGCCCCTCATAGTCATTATACACAAAACAGAAAAAAAAATTAAGTATATTTAAATCATTTATATGACGACTCTTTTATAAATTCCCATAAGGCAATAATGAAATGTACATATTTTAAGTGGCTGAGGTTGCGCTGTATAATGACATGGTTGAATTACAATAAAAAAATTTAAGTAAGTTCTTCCCACCACAGCTAGCCTGCAACTTTTAACGATAGAGTGCGTAAGAATATTTTAAGAAATTCTTATTTATTAAAGCATAAAAAGTTAACACAGGTTGCTTAGTTACCTTTAAATAAATATTTTAAAGTTAAACGTGTCAATATTAATCATATTATCAGTCAGAAGTATGTTTGAATCGCTGATAAACTCGGGAATGTAAAAAATGTCGATCATAGTGGCTCTGTCTCTCATCGCACAAGGTTGAATTATTAACCCTATCTCCCATTGTTAAGGGTTTCTCTGGATTGTACAAGTCATTACTCAAATAAATTTAGCTGTTGTTAGTATAGAAATGAGTGTTAACTGGGTGTGGAAAATTTCAAGACCCAAACATTATTGACAAACTCGTAAGTTTACACTGTCAATTTTCTCAATAATTAAAGCCTTGTTACTATTTTTAATGTCAAAGTGTAATTTTTTTTTTTGTGTGTGTTAAATTACGATATAACGTTTCTCATTTTAATCCATTAACTCTTCTTTTACACTGTATTAAGCACAATTAACATTTAATAATTGTGTAACTAATAATCAGTATTTACTGATTTCAGATTTCATCATATATTAGGAATATAATTTGTGTTAGCCATGTCACTTCGAAAGCTAGTTGAAGGGGAGTGTGGAGGTACTAATTCTTTAGTTAGCCTCTCTTCTCATTTTGTACAAGATAGAGGGTTGAAAGATGAAGGGTTTCACAGCTTTCCTCACCAGGATAGTTTGCCAAACACTAATGTCGATCAGGTTCGTACCCTTATCAACTATGTCTGTAGGTTTGTTAATTTTAATTTATGTTATGGTTTATTTGTAGCTGGTGCACGAGTTTTTTGAAGAAACTAGTCATTCCGCTCAGCCATTTAGGATGGATTCCTTGTTGGCAGAGATGAGGGATTTGGAAAGTCGGGGAGCTGGGCCAGTGAGATCTGCACCAATATCTCAACTTGCGATTGAAGGAGATGTCCAGGAATGGGCTCAGCAGTACCTTGAGTCAGGAAAAAGTTTCCAGGTAATTTTTACAAGTCATTAAAATCCTAAGTTTGATTGCCTATACTTGTGTAAGGTCACTTAACTGCTTTAAAACGTAATCTGACAAAAATTAAGAGCTGATCATCAAAGTTGTCTCAAAGGGCAAGTCTGAGAACATTTTTGAAGGACATTTGTGGTCCTTGAACTGGATGTTTGTCATCAATGTGAATTTTTCTGGAAATCAAGTTATCTGAAGCAGTTATTTCTCAATAAATAAATGATAATTCTAGCTTTACCACATAAACAGAGATAGTTTTTGTTCTGCGATTCCTGTTTGATAATCTATTCGGTACAAATTTTTGTTTTAAGTGTTATGTAATAAGTTATCATAGTTGAATTATTAAAATTAAAGTCTGTATTCTTCAAATATTGTTCATTTAAGTCATATCTCTATCATGTTGTGGGTTTGAGGTTTAGTGCATGATTGAAATATCTTGTAAAATAAATTCAATTTAATAGCCAGCCCAAAGTGATTTCATTGCATTATTGTAAAAGCAAGATTTTTATTTTCTATATAAACAGATTATTTCACCAGTTTTATGCTTTAAAGATAATTTTTAATTTTCGAATTATTATTATTTTTTTTCTAAAATTTTTTTTCTTTACTATTATCTCAAGCATTACTTTCCACATTGCTAGTTTTATAATGGAAAAAAATAAATTACTTGTGTCTTTATTTTAAAAAGAAACTTAAATGATGCACTATCCACATTTTATATAATAAATATAACTTTTAAATTTTATTTTCTCCCAGTACTGTGTTTTCTTGTTTATTTATAGTGATTTAGAGTAAAAGTGATTCTGAATCTATGAATTTCATAATAACATAGATATAGTTTCTAATTATATAGTCCTCATTTAAGTTCAAAAAAGCATTTAGCAATTAGGAGGTATACTGACAAGATACATCATTTGTTACCATGAAGTCTTCACTCTGCATATTTGACCTTGAAGTAACATGTAATATGCTGTAATATAAGATGGAACTGCTTGATTTGTTATATAATTGGATTTAGATCAAGTTTATTATTAATAAAACATTTTACTCAATATGCCTTGTTTTATTATTTAATTTAAGAGTGGTGATTAAATTTTATCTTATTGTTAGGCTAATTATTTTGATTCATTATTTTATAATCATTTAATATATGTACAAACATTGCCTATCTTCGATTCTTTGGTGAAAAGTTTAACAATCTTTTAACTTCCGATTTGATTAATCTGGATCCTTTTTAGTACCAAAGATCAAACTAGCATATAAATACTTCGAAGCTCCCTTATTGGGTCCATTTTTTTTTTTTTTTTTTTTTTTCTCCTCTCTCATTAACTCTAAAGATACTAAAGATATATTTCTATTTCATACCGATGCATTATAGATTCTAGTTTCTTTCATTTTAACTTGTTTTTTTTTTTTAATGAATATCTTTATGAAAATTTTTCATTCCAATATTTATGCCACTTAATTAAAAATTAGGCTCTGCAGGATTGCCTAAATCAATCTATGGCTATTTGAGATTATCTGGATGTCTTACATGTTCATTACAAACCTCTGATCAGAAACTAGAGATCCTTTCTTACTTTTATTCACCTTCAATCCACACCCAGTATATTTCTGAAACATTTTCCTTAGTGTAATGTCAGTAAAGAAATAGGTAGTTCATTACTGCAAATTAAAAAAATATAGTGCTATTCCTACACTTTCCTGAAACTATTACACTTCAGAACCTGTTCAGCATAAGTATGGTCCTTAGTGAAAGAGTAAACTTCCTTTGCTTTCTATCAATGCCATATTCTAGTATATGAACTTTTTATATCTTGGATGGAACTGACCAGTATTACTGTCCAATCTTTCTTAGTCTCTTCAAACGTCCTCCGACTTTTTGCTTTACTTAATTTACTGATAAAAGAACTACTGATCATGCCTACAGAGATATCTGGAAATTTATTTAAACTGTCACTACAATCTATTTGTTGTTGTTTAGTATGTTTAGGTTTTAACATCATTTAACTTAACTTCATAAATTTCCGAATATTGGGAAACAGCAGGAGCAACTTTGTATGTTTGTTCAGTTTTAAATTATAAACTCTAAAAGGTGTGATTATAGTTTAGGGTGAGGCCCGGTTATAATGCCGTTGTCTGGTAAATATATGATGTTTTGGTTTTAAGACATTGGATCCTTAGAAAATTTTATAATACAGTAAACTCCCGCTTTTCCGTCCTTCTCAGGACAGAAACATTGCCTGTCAAGCAGAGGAACTGGTTAATATGGAGAGTATAAAATTAAAAAAAAAAAAATTCAAATTTTATTTTAACTTTTATATTGCAGAAAAATCTTTAAATTTATTTCATTTAATGACACAACAACTCGTTTTCTTTTTCACTCATTTTGTCACACTAGTTGAATGAACGAAAGCTGTAACACAACTGAAAAGAGAAACGTAGTTCACAAACAAAACCTTGACTAAACCTTTCCAATCTTCACAATTAAAACAGCGAGAATTTATTCATAGTCCTTATACATTGTCTGTCCCTACTGACTGAAGTATTTGTTACATTAGTTATTAAAAGACATAATAGTTATGTAGTATTTTTTTAGGATTTGAGAAAAAAAAATGAAATGATCAACTGATTAGCAAATAATGTATTTAATTTTTAACAAAGTCTGTTCATTCATTTTTAATAAATGCTTATACCGATGCATGTATATGTATACAAGGTATTCATATGAAATAAACAGATGGATATGTAATTTTAAAAACAAAATCTTTGGTTTGATTGGTAATACTTTTTGCTGTTATAAAATTTGGTTTGAAGTCCACATTCTCGATTCCTGAATAATATTCTTAATATATTAAACTATATTGTCATATTTCTCTTAATTTTTAGCAGCTGAATTAAATATGGTTCATTATTTCTTCCTTAATTTTGAATTAGTTTAAACTATTTCTTGTTGTATTGTTGAAATTTAATTGCAAGGTTTCTGTTTGTAATTGTAATATGATGTATTTTATAGGAAATTACTGGCGATGGAATATGGTCTCATGAAGACAGGCCAGACCCTTTCGATTCAGCGTCTTTAGACTATGACTTAGGTTTTGGGCCTAGGTGGGCCGATGATTATTTGCAAAGAACTCGAACTCAGTCTTTGTAAGTATTTCAGCTTCTTATATTAATTTGATATTATATAGTTCTTATTTATTGATCAATAATTTATACCAATTCCTAATATATTTTTTTTTTTTTTTTTGGCGATTGGATATATTAACGTAAGGTTTTCAGTTGAAGGTTTTTAGCTGTTTTTTTTTTTTTTTTTGTTTTTTTTAGTCCTTTCATCACTGCTAAACCAACATAAACCTTTAGAATATTAATAAAGAGTAACATTATTGTTTATCCTTTTGTATCAACCATTATTATCTTGGCACCAGCATTATATCTTGACAGGAAATTGTTGGAGATAAGTATTTGATCAAATGAAGTTTCGTTGAGTTAACTATAATACAATATGAGATAAAATATAATCTATAGTTTTTTATTCCGCATTGAGTCATTTATTTTACATTTCAAATGGAATGCATTCACTGAAAAATTAATTGTTTGGGCTATTATTCAATAATGTGAGTAGAAGCAAACTTTTGGTCCTTTAGATGAATCAAATGAAATGCTGGAAGTTTTGTTGTATCAACTTTGCTGTCAGAGGGTCTTGGATTTTGTTTAGTGATCTTTCAAATATAACAACTTTGGTATATTACTCTCTATTTTGAAATTTCCTCTGAATTAATTAAAGGAAGGAGATGGTCCGGGGTTGCGATCATAAAAAGGCTAAATAGTGGTAAAACTATTTTATTGAAAGCCAACGTTTCGACCCGACTTTGCAGGTCTTCATCAGGGCTAGAACGGACAAGATACAAAAAGATAGAGAATTGTGGCAATTACATAATATTTAGACATAATTTATAAACAATGTGAATAAGCTTATTAGAATTATAAACAGTAAGTACAATAAAATATGGACTAAGTAAGCTGAGTAACAAGATCCTAAAATAAAGTAAATGCTAACAATTGTTGTAGTGTAATATATATAACAAATGAAAATTTGAGTATAATTCTACAAAATCTACAGGAGAAAAAATAAGATTAGAGACTTACAGGTGTGTTCCTCTAGGAGTTTCACTTAGAACTGGAAAGGCAGCGGTAAGGATTGCAGGTATAGGGGGAGTTAACATGTGTTAACTAAGTAAAGATTGAAAAAATGGAGCATGCTAGGCCACCATACACCGTCAAAGGCAGAGGATATATCAAAAAGTAGTAACATAACATAACGCTCCGCCCTCTTTTCATCATCTTGGCGCACTCTCAGCAGGTCATCAGCAGTTCCTCTGTCTTGTTGAACCATATTGCAGTGGAAGGTTTGCTCTGTCAAAAACAGGGGTAAACTAGACATAATGAGGTTCTTTAGGACCTTGCTCATCACTGTCGCCCAATATGAAAAAGATTGCTTCTTGCAGTAATAACAATATTTCTGTCATACCTTGGTGTTGCAATGCGCTGAAATCCACTAACAGTTCTGTTATTAGTACTTACAGTTTCTCTGAAGCTGGGTAAAGCCTGGGAGGCCACAATCTGTGAGACGCCGACTACATCAGATATATCCAGTTGCCCTGATGCCCTTGTAATAATATTGTGAACTTCTGGTTCAATATGAACCAGACTCTGAATTAAAATTGAGAGTCAAAAACAACTCTTGTTTTACACAATGAGTATTCTTAATGTTTACTTTTTATATTTATCAATGCTTAAGAAAATCCTTAACAAACAAACAAAAATAGAGTGTTTCAATTACTATGAATCAAATAGAAATATCCCTATTCATTTTTGAGCAGTTTAGATTCCAGACCTCTACATGTTTGTTTTAGAAAAATATTTTATCAAGCAAGAGAATTAATTTTGAGGAGAGCAGTTTAAACATTTGTTTTTTATTTGTTTAAGTTTTACTTATCATTTTGAAATAGATTTTGGGCTATTTCAATTCATGTTTTGAGGCCCAAGAAGTCTGTTCTTAGTTTAGTCTACAGGAATGTAGTTATAATTTTCTTAGTTGATACTTGATACATTGTGTTAATTATATGCACTTACTTGATAGAATAAGAAGAATGCTTTTACACGAAAAAGAACATTTATTTTTATTCAGTATTAAAACTAAATAAAATTAAAAAAAGTTGTTTTTGGTGGAATGACCCTTGTTTTGTTTATAACTTGATTGGACAGGTGTTAAGGTAAAAATATTTGCTTTCAGGGATGAAGCAGTTCCTTTGCCAGACTTGTCTAACTCTGAAGAGTACAAAGTCGAAGAAGATATTGCTGCCACTGCTGGTGAAATTCTGACTAACACCGCCTTGGATCCAAGGTTTTCATATTCCAAGGTAATTCATATTATGATTCTTTAATGTTTACGTGCATTAATTTATACCTTCTGCTACTTGTCAATTATGTTTTTTGAGAATTTTTTATAACGGGATGCCACTGGATAATTATTGATGATAATTATCCAGAATTAATTTATAAAAGATTAGTTAAACAAATTATGTCATTTGACATATTGGTCCTTGATTAATTTATTGGATTACTTCTTACAAAGGCTTGTTGTGTGTTTATCTGTTCTCTAATTACCAAACATTACCTGTGCTTAGAATGAAATAAATATGTGGCATGATCAAAATAACTTTTATGTACAAATTATGTTTATTTACAAATTATATAATAAAGACTGTTATATACATTATATAGCATTTCCAAGTCAATTTCAACCTTTTCCAAGTCAAATTCAACTTTGAATTTTTGTCAATTTTCGATTTTTTTCGAAATGAAGGCCACTTACTACATTATCGAAGGCATAGGCTTTTGAAAAAAAGAAAAATTTTGATAACGCGGTTGCATATCCATTTATTTTAAAATTTTAGATTTTTTCAATATAATATTTCTATGTCATATTCAATTATTTCCAAGTCGAATTCAACCTTTTCCAGATCAAATTAAACTTTTTCCAAGTCAAATTCAACCATTTCCATTTCAAATTAAACCTTTTCCAATTCAAATTCAACCGTTTTCATTTTAAATAATGGCCATCCCCTCCCCCCCTCCAATATGAAGGTCTATTATTATGCTCTCCTAAGTAGACTTTTCATTTACGGATATCGATTTATTGTGCCTATTCGGATTTATTAGAGACTAGTATTATGCTGTCCTGTACCTAGTTTTTAAAATAACCTCCATTCTAAGAATATGCCACTGCGTTTCGACCTATTTAAGTTTTTTTGACTTATTCGATACAAGAGTCTATTCTTATGTTTTCGAGCCATAGATTTTGAAAACGCCCTCCATTTTATGATTAGACCACCGCGTTTCGATTTCTTTAAGTGTTTTGAATTTTTTTCATATGAGGGTGTATTCTTATGTTTCCGGAGCCGTAAATTTTGAAAACGACCTCCATTTTAAGATTAGACCACCGCGTTTCCATTTCTTTGAGGTTTTAGGATTTTTTTCATATGAGGGTGTACTCTTATGTTTCAGAAGCCGTAAATTTTGAAAATGACCTCCATTTTAAGATTAGGCCACCGCGTTTCAATTTCTTTAAGTGTTTCGAATTTTTATCATAAAAGAGTGTATTTCTATGTTTCCGGAATCGTCGATTTTGAAAATGACCTCCATTTTAAGATTACGCCACTGTGTTTCGACTTATTCAAGTTTTTCGAATTTATCTAATTTAAAGGTCTACTTTTATGCCGGAACCTTAGTTTTTAAAACGACTTACATTTTAAGATTAGGCCACTGTGTTTCGGTTTTATTAAGTGTTTTTGATTTTTCCTTCGAATAAAAAACAAAATACGGAGGATTAATTTATTTTTCAATAAATAAATAACAATATCTAATTGAAATAAATAAAATATGTATTGTCTCATTTTTAATTAAATTTTAGTTATCTTTTTTAATGTAGTGGTCTCCTGTAACAAAATTATAAGATTTCGAACAATTAGCTTAAAAATCTGAATACGGTAGGTTAAATTTATTACCAGTTGCTTTTCGGCTTTTTAGTTTGTATTATGTGGTTAATTTAACTTTAGCTTCATAATATTTATTTATTTATTTATTCATATTGATAAAACTTTGTATTGAAAAAATTCAAAATGAAGCCTAATTAATCGAGATGCAGCGGCATAATCATAAAATGGAGATTAAATATTAGATAAATTTAATTATTAAAGATTAGAAAATTTTCAATACGTCTCCGATAACATATAAGTAGATCCTTATAACAAAAAAGTAAAAAAAAAAAACAGTGGCATAAACTTGAAATGGGATCATTTACAAAATGGGGGAAATCTACTGCTCCAGAAACATAAAAATAGACCTTTATATTTGATAAATTCGAAAAACTTAAATAAGTTGAAACGCAGAGGTGTAATAATAAAATAGAGTTTATTTTCAGAATCTACGGTTCCGAAAACATAAAAGTAGACCTTTAAATTGGATAAATTCGAAAAACTTCATTAAGTCAAAATGCAATGACATAATCATGAAATAGAGGTAATTTTCAAAATCTACGGAGCTGGAAACATAAAAGTAGACCTTCAAATTGGATAAATTTGAAAAACTTAAATAAGTTAACACGCAGAGGAGTAATCATAAAATGTAGGCCATTTTCAAAATCTACGGCTCAAGAAACAAAAGTAGACCTTTATATTGTATAAATTCGAAAAACTTAAATAAGACAAAACGCAGCAGCGTAATCTTAAAATGGAGGCCATTTTCAAAATCTACAGCTCCGGAAACATAAAAATACACCCTTACATTGAATAAATCAAAAAAACTTAAATAAGTCGAAACGCAGTGGCGTAATCTTAAAATGGAGGCCATTTTCAAAATATGCGGCTCCGGAAACATAAGAATACACCCTCACATGAAAAAAAATCTGAAAAACTCAAATAAGTCGAAACGCGGTGGCCTAATCTTAAAATGGAGGTCATTTTCAAAATCTACGGCTCCGGAAACATAAAAGTAGACCTTTATATTGGATAAACTCTAAAAACTTAAATAAGTCAAAACACAGTGGCATAAACTTAAAATGAATTTCATTTTCAAAATTTACGGATCGGGAATTATAAAAATACACCCTTATATCGAATAAATGAAAAAAAACTTAAATAATTCAAAACACAGTCACGTAATCTTAAAATGGAGGTTATTTTCAAAAACTACTCATACGATAACAGACCCACACATCGAAAAATTAAAGATAATTAAATAAATGAAAAAAAGTTGAATTTGAAATGGAAAAGGTTTAATTTGAAATGGAAAAGGTTGAATTTGACTTGGAAAAAGTTTAATTTCATTTGGAAAAGGTTGAATTTGACTTGGAAAAGGTTGAAATTGACTTGGAAATGCTATATTTACAAAAATTAATGAACTAAACAATTGGTTGTGAAGGCATGATTCAGATGGATGGAATTTAAAATTACATTGCCATTAAATATTTAAACATCTTTAATGAAATTGTTGGGAATTACTTATCTATTGTTAGGCGAAGTGCGAAGTTGAGGTCATCGTTGTTCCGGTAAGGGTTCAGGAGAAAACAGTCCTCCAGCCAGAAGAAAACATCAGATTCGAAGCCGACTCTCCATATCAGGTCTCTCATCTATGCCGGGCAGTGGTGTCCGCCCATAAGCCATAAGACTTCTTCTCTATCAGCCTCTCCTCATCCAGCTGTCCTCGCTTCCTTCCCAGCTTGAAGTCTCCTCAGCTGAGTCCCAAAAAGAAGTGTCTTAGTCCTAGTCTTATATTTCCCACCTTTCTTCATCCCCTCTCTTTTGGTGGTCTTTTCTGATTGGCTGAATATTCCTAGCCTAAGAGATAACCACGCCCTCTCCCCCAGGCCAAAGTATTCCATTAACCAGGTATATTTTAAGTATTTCTGATAGAAGGTGTGAAATGTCTTTCTGGAAGGTGTTAATGGTAATTTGGATCCTGTTTAAACACTCAGCCGTGAGACTGTTGTCGGTCTCTTGGGGTTCTTAAGGATTTCTGTTACCACTTATAAAAGGTTGGGTCGGGGGTCTCCCGCCCAGGTGTTAGAAATTATTTTTAAATATTATTAGTTACCATTAGGCAATGTTCAATACATAGCACTTCATAGGATTTTTTTAAAGTCATAATGTAAAATATTATAACTTGAAAATTCTGTGGCTTAAATTTTCTTAATTTGATTTATTGCTTGCATATAGCCTTATATTGGCATTTAATTAGTCTAAGGCCTAACCATTCATAATATTTTAATTTTCCTCTGTTCCATAAATTTAGCAAGCCAGTTAATTGAAAATTTATTCAGCATAATGAACAAATATAAGATTTTTAATGGAATAAAAATTAAAAAAAATTCAAACTTTCTGATTTTTTAAGTTTAGAAAATTATTATAATTTAAATAACAGACTATATCACTTCACCATTTATTCATTGAAGGTTAAACCAGTATCAGGTTCATTCTGTAAAGGACTAGACGTACATTAGGGATGGGATGTTGAAGGCCCAATATCGATATTAATATCAGTCTATAATTGATACCATCAAAATATCGATAGTCAATATTTTTATCAATATTATAAACATTTTTGAAGTATAAATATTGATTCTCTAGCACATATGGGCATAAAAAAATATGTTATTTTCCTCTTTAAATTAGTTAATGAAAATACCAATTATTCTATTCTCCTTAGTAAAATTAATTTTCTTGTTCTTGTCCATCTTCGTTATCCTCAACTTTTTCCTGAAATTTCTATTTAATCAATTATGCCTTCTATTCACCCATAGATCGGATTCAGCGAAATGCTGATTTATTTGCATCCTACATAGATTTCTTTGACAATTTGTGGTCTTGGTTTGAGAAGGTTCTAACAAATTGGGCAAATTGTGAGTGAGAAGGGACCAACGCATGCTATTCAACTCTATATATATATATATATATATATATCCATCGATAGTCGATATTATTGAAATATTCCTCCATTCTATATAAGATGGGCAAGATGAGCATAATTTTTTTCTAACAATCAGATTTATGTATTATTCCTACTGCTTTCCAAAAACGATGGTTTTAATTTTTACTTTTAAATTAAAATATAGAAGGGACAATATCAATAGTCAATAATATTGAAGTAGATATTATTGATGGTAAAATACCAAACATCAGAAGGAAAATATCAATATTTTGATAATATCTACTATCGATGACCATCCTTAACGTTGTTACTTACATGATTATTGTGTATCTGCATGTTCTTTTCATTGTTCTTAATAAGATTTAATTTTTGTTGGATGATGATTGCTTGAACCACCTAAAATGTTGTGGCTGTCATATGAATAAATGGTGAAGTTTTCAAGTCTAAATTATTTGGATATATTCATAGGTAATTCATTTATCACCAAAATGAAGCACTTGGAATGATAAAAATTTTAAGTGTCACACTGATGACCATTTCATTTTTTTTACAGACAAATAGCTTGATGAATATTTATAAAAAATATTTTATATTTATTTAGTTTATGAAATTCATGAAGCAAATAGAGGATCGTGAAGTCACCGTTGGGAAAGATGGTAAATTAAATCCTACCGAGGCGAAAACAGCAGCTGGTCATTGGAGCCTTGAATTTCAAAATGATCCGGAATATGAAAAAACTACAAAGTGGTCAGAACAGTTTGAAAAAGAACAGGAAACATCAGCTAAGTGGACAGAACAGTTCTTGAAATCTGAAGGTTAGTCAAACTATTGAACATTATCCAAATTTGTGGTATTTCAAATTTAAATACATATAAAGATTTTTACAGAATTGTTAATTTAGTTTTAGGAATGAATGCAACTTCAGAGGAACCATTTAATAAACAGCTTTGGGACAAACTGACAGAGCAGTGGAAGAATATTAGTCCTACTTTAGCTGAAACCCAGTCTTGGGATTCTGAGTTCAATGATTTTTCAACTGAATTTAAAGTAAGTATTCAAGTTACAGTCTTTTATTTTGTAAATGGACTAGAATAATACAATAAACAAAAAATTTATTCAACAAATGTTTGTAGTATGTTATGAAAATTCATCTAATTGTTACAGGCCATTTTTTTGTTTTCAGGAATACAACTTTGCCAAAGAAAATCCTTTGACAAATACAGATAATCCTTTGGCAGAAGGACAGAGAAGGTTAGCGGCCGGGGATCTACCAAGTGCTGTTCTTTGTTTCGAAGTTGCTGCTCAGCAAGAGCCAGAAAACCCTCTGGCATGGCAGCTACTTGGGACAACTCAAGCAGAAAATGAACAGGTCATTCACTTTTTCACTCCTTTTGTGTAGATCTCAATTGTTTTCCCATTCCTGTCTCCTTTTATGCTTTTTCTCATCTCTCCGACATCCCAGATCAAGCTAGAGAGTGAAAAGTATGTATTTAAATTGAGTGCATATTTACTCGCCCTTTTAATTGAATTTGAAGATAGGAAATCGTATTTGAGTCGGAGGAGTGCTTTCTGGGGGACTCGTCTTTTTTTCTCAAACCCTCCATTTCTATAAATTAGATATAATTGATTTTAAAATTCTATTCAATTTCCTCAGGTATATAAAATTAATAAAACAAAAAAATCATATTTGATCTGTTTTCTGAACATAAATGAGGAAAAATATGATCTTAGTCTGCTGCTCACGATTCGATTTTTTTTTTGTTATTCAATTTTTCCGTTTAAGTATGTCCGCAAACGTGGCAGAAAGTCAGAAACCCCAGTTCATGTATCGGGCAAGTAATAATAAGCTCCTTATCACACAATCATATAAAGTAGGAGTCTCCAAATTACGGCCGGAACACATCCAATCCGTGACATAGTGAAATTTTAAAAAAATATGAAATTTAATAAACCACTTAAGCACGAGGTTAGTACAACATTTATTGTATGTTTTTTTTTTTTGTCACTAGACATGGCCAACAGGACTTTATAGAGGTCTTCATGCGGCCCAAGAGAGTCTGTGGAGGCTTCAATATGGCCTGAGAGCCAAAAGGTTTGGAGATAAAGCATCAAATAGCCAAATTCCTGCAGATAAAAAGTTACAGATATTTCCTCAAAGTTCATTGTCTGGATACTGAAGGCTCAGCAAGATTCGCAGATAACAAATTTTTAGTGTGAAAGGAAAGACTCTGAAAGTCGATTCTACAATTAAATTTGAAACAAACAATGAAGATTAAGATCTCAAAATACAAATGGAAAAAGAGGAAATATATAAAAAATGCATTCCATACCTAAAGGAGAAATATAGAGAGGAATGGGTGAAAGAGGATTTTTGGTTTAGAAGTAGAGGGGCAATTCTTCTTTCAACTGCTAGTTTTTTGGAAAAGCTGGGTGTTGAAAAGAATCAGATACAGAGTGTGACGAAATCTATTACTTTGGACTCCCTAGGAATCCTGCACCATCACTTATATTGATTCCGGCCATTGCTTTATAGATCCTAGGTACAGAATTGAGAAGAACCAAGATGAGGAAAGAAAGAAAACAATAAGAAATGGCGTTTTGATATGCAAGGCACTTGGTATTTAGGATGACAGTCCTGTAAATCTTTATCCTTTCCGTATTCTTTTAATTTATATTGTCAATCAGATAAAATAATGTCAGTAAGCAACTAGACAATAGAGCAGCATTACAATTTGATCATACTTCTCTCTTGAACCAAATATTAATAATCCAGCCAAGAATTAAAAAGCCCCTTTTCGCCAATTACTGAGGTGTAATTTTTAAATAACTCCCTTAATTTTGTTTTGTAATTTATAATGCATTATTAAATAAATATAACAGGCTTTTATTTGTTGGGATTAACTGGGTTTTTTTAAAGATTTATTTCATGTTGGTTTATTTACTTTATAGGACCCTCAAGCAATTGCAGCCTTGAAAAAATGCCTTCAACTGCAACCGAATAACCTTACGGCTTTGATGGCGTTGAGTGTCTGTTATACTAATGAAAATTTTCAAAATCAAGCTTGTAGAGCATTAAAGGTATGTAAAGGAATGGCCTGACAGAATGAAGTAATGTTTTATTTTTATTAATATTCATTTTTTATTTCAGGAATGGCTTCGTATGAATCCTAAATATTCTGATATAGTTCCAAGTGATGAACAACAGTCACAAAAATTTCCTGGTGTTTCCTCATTTCTTTCAAGGTATGATTCAAAACAGTTAATAATGTATTTAAAATATATTTAGAATCCAGTAATAATATGTTCCTATTGTTAATTATATTGTTTAAAATTTAACTCCTAAAAAATGTTAAAAGTTACTGTTTTATTTCTTGCTTAGTTAATTATTATCAAAATCTTGATTCTGTCAATTTTATTTAGTACAACCGAAATATTTTATTTCTTTGTTATTGAAATGTGAGAACATGCATTATCAATCTAGGTAGCTTGGTACATGGAGGAAATATAGATATGAAAATTTGGCTATCGAAAACTAATTTAATAAAAATAAAAGGATACAACTAAACAAGAAATTAATTGTATATAATACCAATAGTAATTTAGTGACTTTCTTTAATACTGTTTGAGAGAAAATCTGAATTGTATCATTATGTTAGATATAAACAAATTAGATAATTATTTTCTGTTCAGAGAAATGTATAACATGACGAAAGAGATGTTCTTGGAAGCAGCTAGAAGAAACCCTCTAGATTTAGATCCTGATGTTCAATGCGGCCTGGGAGTTCTGTTCAACATTTCATCAGAAATCGATCTAGCTGTGGATTGTTTTAAAGCAGCACTTCAAGCTAGGCCCAATGTAAATACAAGGAAACAAACTCTTTGATTTATAGTGAACTAAACTGACTTATAACAATTTAACTTTGATGATTAATTCTTCAGGATGCATCTCTATGGAATCGACTAGGAGCTACCCTTGCAAATGGAGATAGGTCAGAGGAAGCAGTTGATGCTTACCGAAGTGCTCTCCAACTTCAACCTGGCTTTATTAGGGCTAGGTATAACCTCGGCATTACTTGTGTCCACTTAGGAGCGTATAGGTATGCTATTGAGAAATGAGATAATGATATTTTCAATTTTCATTGTTAAAAAACTTCATCGCAATCCTTCATTAATTGTTTTAGGGAGGCAGCAGAACATTTGTTAACTGCATTAAAGCAGCAATCAATAGGGCGTGGACCTCAAGGGGGTGAAACCAAGGCATCGATGTCTGACACTATATGGAATACTCTAAAACTTGTTTGCGCTTTGTTGGAAAGGTCGGATTTAATGGATGACATAAATGAGAGGTTTGTTGGACTTATCTTAGTAATTCTTTGCGTTCTCCTCTCTTAATGCCATAGAAAGTGAAATAAAACTAAATATATTTATTTCATAATCACAGTATAGAGGCAATAATGTGTATATTATTTATAAAATTAATATATATATATAAGAGGTTGAGGTAGTTGTGCGGGCTAAGGTGCTTGCAATAGATTATCAAAGTTAAGCAATGCCGAGCGTGGTTAACACTTGGATGCGTGACCGTCCACCAGGGAAAGCCACGCTGCCCAAGATTCCCCCCTCCCCGAATATGTGTGGCCTGTCAGGCTACTGGAGGCAACTCATACCAACTGGGCGTAGGGCTGATGATCCTATCCTCGTGTACATAAATCGGGAATCAGTATGTGGTCAAGAAGACCACATCTTGTGGTTAAAGATCTTAATGGTCTGTAGCGCCAACCGAAAAAAAAAATATTGTAATTGTTCAATAAAATCACTAGAGGACGAGGAAAAGAAATGGAGGCAATAAGGAATTATTTTATGAAAAAATGTAATAAAATAAGATAAAACAAATAAAGGTACTACTCTCATTTAAAAAGAATAAAACAAATATTTCTATATTTTTGCAATACTATTTTTTTTTAAGAGAGCAGTTACTAATTTTTATTTATTATTTTTTTTAATTTATATCTTCTCTCTCACGGCTTCCCCTGCTCTCTTAAGCAGCCAAGTATTTAAACTAATAATTTATTTATCATTATTTGTTGACCAATCTCTAATATTTCAGACATTTATAAGAGAAAAGTAAATTTATAAGACTTCTGAATAAGTTATATTTTCAATTGTATTCCCAACGTAGGTAAGTTTTTACACTTGTTAGTAGCACTACGGCAGTAACAGTCTTTTTTTAAAAAAGTGTTTCTCTTGTGATTGATTATTTTTTTAATATAAATGTCATTAATATTTTAAAAAAAAAAAAGTAAATTACTGAATGTAAAAATTGAATTATTATTAAGATTAATGAAAAATCTGTAATTTTATTATTGATAAACATTTCAGGGCTCATAGATTATCTAATTTGCATTGGTATAGTAGTTGGTGATTAGAAATGGCAAACATGTCATCCATTAGATGTTATATGTATCATAATTGTGGGTTGATGGTTTACTGTAGTGAATAATGAAGAGAAGGATGGTCAAAATAAAGATGCCAACAATAAATAATAATATTTTAGGCAAATGTTGAAATAAATATTATTTTTTATTTTGACTGATTATTCTAATCATCCTTCTCTTCATTATAATATATGTTATATGTACGTAATCTGTTTTCTCTATTTCATTTTGTTATTTTTAATAACAGCAGCATACATACTATCCTAACAATAATATTAAATTAAACATCATTACTAAATGCCCTTAACACTTTTTAGTTTAAAAAAAAAAATACTTCAGTTTTACTGGTCTGATCAAAGACTTTAATTGCTTATAATCCTCCTAAGATAACACACACCAGAAAAAGTGTGTACTTAAAAAAAAGAAAAAGTGTAAACTGAAAGAAGTTTGTTCATGTTTTCATGAAATAAGTTAACAAGCCTAAGCTTTATTATTCAAATAATTTGTTTTTGTTTTTCCAGGAATCTGTCAAAACTCAATGAAGTATTTGGAATCGAGTAAAGAACAAAGAGTAGAGAGCAAACCTCAATCCATGTGTTAAATAGTAAATCCAGTTAAAAGCTGTTGTAATTGACCATGCTGAATATTATGTAAAGGTGTGAGATCAGGTGTATTAGCTGATTACTACAAGTCTATACCATTTGACATTGTATAAAGTTAAAAAGCTCTCTTAATTTTTAATTTAAAATATTTTTTTGGTTCGATACCACTTAATAAAGTATGAAGCCAGTCCTCCATTTTCAGCAAGAGTTGGAAGCTTTTGGATAAAAGAAAGTATAAGAAGGAATATGAACATAATCTAAAATGAAATCCTTCTTTCTTTATAATGGAGGTCTCATTTTGAAGGCTTCTCCACTATGGATGTGCCCATTCGGCATGGTATATAACCCTATTGCTCATATTTTATTCGCCTCAGCCAAATAATGCCTAATCATAGTTATTTGGTTAGGGCTTGGTGGTTTGGCGGGAGACCTATTTGAGAGTTGAAGTGGCAGTGATGTGGAGTGACTGACCTGGCTCAAGATTTAATTATTTGTATTCTATTGTTGCTTACAGGTGTAATTTAGTAATTTATTGTCAGGTAATTAACTAACAAATCCTTAGGATTTAAGTATATTATTTGATGTCCATTCATAACTATTGAGACGTATTATATATGGACGTATTAAGACATGGTTGTCTGAAATTCATTTTTCATATCCTTCATTATAAACCATAGGAGGTTCCTTTTATTGAAAGGACTGCAAACTATCTTTCTCTTAAAGAATTTTAAGTGTTCGCGAGACTAAATTACTTCTAAAAGTTTTATATTGACTTTATTTCTGCTTTTTTTTTTTAAAAATGAATTTCACTATCAATTTAATGCAATAATAATTAAATAACGCATGTAAGCAACACTGAATGCCAGGAGAGGTCTATTGAAGAAAATATTCTGGTATGTTTTATTTGTATATGTTGTTATATTGGCCTTAATGAAGTAAATCAATTGATGATTGATTACCCTGATCATATTAGTTATCGCTTCATTGTTATTCCTAACTGTATTTGTTTTATGTATTCATTTCAAAAGAACATTTTTTAAAATGGAATAACAATTAATATATTTTTTTTATCCTGTCTAGATTTTTGTATTTTAATGTATTTTTTTTTATATAAAAAAATATGAAAATCCATATTTTAAATGCTGTATATTTTAGAATTCTTATATATGTTTTAGAATTCTCGAAAGTTGAGTATTTCTGGTTATAATTGGGATAACTAATCTAAGTTTGAAATGAAACAAACTTAGTTTATTTTTATATTTTATTTATTACTTTTTTAAAATTTTGTAAATGAAATTAATTTATTATAAAAATTGTAATTTTATCACAGATATGGAACGTATAGACCAATAGTTTAATTATATAAACTATTCCATTGAATATCCTCTTAATAAAAAAAAAAAAAAAAAAGGAATTTGTTTTTTGTTTTTCCAACATTGACATATTTTCTTTATGTTTAGAAATTACATTGTTGGCCATTTTACAAAAAAGTAAAAGATATTGAATTATTGGGAAAAAAAAGTCAGTAACCTTTATTATGTACATGAATGAAATTATTATCAATAAAGTAATACATAAACATTTTAACTTATTTATAAACCTTTCTAAATCCTTATACAAGTGTGTCTTCAGACCGAATATATTCACCTATATCTGCTTGATGCAAGCAAACAATAGCTAAGGGGTCAGCATGTTTGCATTCCGCAGTGCTCCTTCCGGCTAGGCCAAAACCCTAAAACAATTTTTAATTTAATAGGTACTAATTAAGAATATTGATCATAACTATTTATTTAAAATAGGAGACAATGTTAAATAATAATAACTCTTTTCACTCAGCAAATTTTTTCAAATCTACCTGGGTTAGCAAATTAGAACAACATTATAAGATTTTAATACAAGACAATGTGAAAAATAAAAATCAATTCAAATTTTCGGAATGGAGAGATCTTCGAAATGTACAAGTGAGATTTTGCATGTTCATATTATCGGTATAATATAACTCTGCCATTTATCAGTATAGCAGAAAAATATTAAGTGTTTGTTAAACATCATATGAAAGCCTTAACCCTTCTCACAATTTGTTATTTTACATTGTAAGATGAGTAAATTCCATAACATTCAGTTTATTCCCTACAAAACAGATAAAAATCATTGTCAGATATGTGAGTACTGCTTCATATGTGGACACAAGCCTCATAAACAGATCCAGATGATGCTTAAGAATTAATCTTTCCAATTTTTTTTTTTTTTCTTTTTCTTTTGAGTTTATGTCATTGATTTATTTATAATGTAAAATTGTTACCAAGGGCAGACAAATTAAAATAACTCTGAATGATATGGGATCAAAATACAAGCGCACGTTGGAGAAAGGACAATAAAGAGCTGCTTACAGATCACATGAAGGCAAGGAGGTTAAAATGTAGCTCGGAGCAATCTATCTGGAAGCCTCTACACAACAATAAATACCCCGATAGAAGGAAAAAGACCATGTAGAAGACCAAAACCCAGATGGATAAGTTGAATCAACAAGAACTGCATGGAGATAAATCGAAAAAAATATCCCAAGATAGGTAGAGATGGAGAAGGGTGATTAAAGCGGCAAAAGATCTAAAAGGTATGTAATATTAATTAAAAAAACAAAATTCTGTTGGCATTACAGATCTTGCAGATGTTTTGCTGCATTTTTCATAGATTGATTGCATATAAAATGACTGAATAATTAATTTGTTTTATAAGAGAAAAAATGATGTTATAAAAATCTAATAATCTCATTAGCTAATGAATATTAAAATAAAATGAAAATCAACTTACCAAAGGCAGATCACTCATAGAAAACACTACAACTCCTTGGTGTTTTTCAGTGTTTTCAGTAATCCTACCGAGACCTGATTTTAAAACATTATGTCCATAGAGAAACTGCTGTTCAGCAGCAGGCTTCACCCAAATTTTATGCTAAAAGAGTAAAATAATTTAATAGGATAAATGTGACTTTAAAACTCAAATTAGACTTTGATGTATATAAATAATTCAATATACCTGAGCATAAGGAGCTAGATAGTTGAGCGCTGTTATATGTAAATGGAATTTACCACTTTTAGTGAATTTTCCGACGCAAGTACCAACACTTATTAAATTATCAGCAGAAACATTTCCAGCTAATTTCAACACACTTTCAGATACATAATAAACTCTATCTTTTTGTTCTCTGAAGCAATACTTTCCATCAGGCCTATCCAAAAGGAGCTTCAGGTTTTCACCAATGCTAAAATGACATTTGCAAATGTTAAAAAAGTAAAAAAAAATATATATTTTTTATATTTTGTTTTGTTATGTATGGGAACAATTTCCCATATACGCAGGTACGATTGGATGGAATTTTTTTCTTACTATTATTTATTTTTTTTTACCTTCAATAACTTGCAAGCCAATTTGCTCTGCTTCTCTTATCAGAGCCTTAGCAAGTTTTTCAATTTCCTCTTGATTGCTTTCAGGAACAGCTATGTCATTTTTAAGTACATAAAACTTATGTAAGATTTTAAGAAAACTAAAGAAGGATGAGATTTTCAATAAAATGACTAGAGTGAATTAAAGTCAAGAACTAACTAACTCACCACCTTTTTATAGATGGGATAGGAACTTCAGGTACCGTTTATGATAGAATAATACAGGTGCTTGGCTACGCCGATGATTTGAACATCTTTGGAAGCCAGGAAAAGATTTTTTTTTACTTAATGGAAAAAGATGCGGATATGGGGCTAACTACAAATCAGGAAAAACCTAAATATATGAGAGCTAGCCTGGAACAGATAATTTCACCAGGGATCTTCTCACAATTTGACCGTTCACAACTTAAAATGTGGACCAATTTATGTGTTAAGGAGAGCAAAATGTAATGTTGTTTCTGCACATATGACAATTTGATTGTCATTTGTCAGCTCACTGTGTACATCTGAGTCGTGGCAGATATTTTAAGGTTATAGTGACTTGTTTGGTTGTAAATAATTAAATTAAAATTATGTCTTTGCAATTTTTGGAGAAATGGCAAGCCAAATACCAGAAAAGGTATATATCTTTTGCACCCGTTAAGAATAAAGGGAACCAATGGAGGAAGCGCTGTAACAGGGAGAATTATGAACCCTTTGTGACAAGTGAATGTCTTTCATATATTGTATGATCGCCTGAGATGGGCAGGCCATGTAGCAAGAATGAATGAGGAAGAAATTAAAAAAAAAATAGTGTTTGAGAATTTGGTCCGGTCGAGAGGAAGAGGAAGGCAAAGGCTGAGATGTGAGGATGCAGTCATAAAAGATGTTCGGAGCCTTTTAGGAGTTTGAAATTGAAGAACAGCTGCACAAGACCGAACCACCTGGCAAACGCTTATTGAGGAGGTCAAGGTCCACATCGGGCTCTAGCGCCATTGAAAAAAAAAAAAAAATCCAAGAACTAAGAAAACAAAAATTCAAATGACCAGTCAAGTTCACAAGCCAAGATTTATGTATCTGCTACAATCTAAACTACCTAAAGTGATATAATTTGGTAATAGTTTTTCCATGCATGAACTCATCACATATTCCCAAAGTTTAGACATGCTGCTATCAAATAATTTAATCTTAAATGACTAATACAGAAACTTTGACAACTACTATGTTCAAAGAAAAAGTATAGAAAGACTAAGAGTTATGTAGATAAACTAAACATTAACAAACACTTCCACTTAGTAAATATATTCTTCCTATAAATTAAAATGTTATCAGCAAGACTAAAAAATGTACTCACAGTCAATAATACAAAATTTAATGATTAAGAAGAAATTATTTTCCAATTGTTAACTAGTTTTTAAAACTTACTATTTGCAAAGCTTTTCAAATACAAGTTTCGTTCGTTCTTCTGACAGCGTTTTCATATTGAATAAGAAGTAAACTTAAAACAAACCACGTGAACTAGTTGTCACCGCACTGGAGCGTTCTTTAACGTTGATCAATATTAAAAACATTTTAACACCTATACCTTTTAATACCTTTAACCAAGGAGCTAAATGCTCTAAAGGTTTTTGAATATTGAAAAGTTTGTTCCATAATTTACAATGAAGCAGTGTTTGAACTAGATCTTTGATAGAATTTCATCGGTCGTGGAGTTTTTCTCGATATTTTGAGCCTAAATTTGGATCGGTTCTGGAAAGAGGTCAGTATAGATAATCATGATACTGGAATCAAAATGTATTTTTCCGCCTCATAGTCATTGTCCTTTCGGTTCTTCAGAGTGAAATAAAACTCAATTTATTGGGTTAGCAAATATGGCCTTTCGATGTTTATTTTTATGCCACTATGATACATTTCTTATCTAATGAATTAATCCCTAAGGTGGATTGTTTATCCTGTTTGTAATATGTCAAAAACTGTATCTGTTAACCGCTCAAATTCTTCGGTTCGAATATTCTATGTAATACTTTATTTTCAAAAACCTTAAGACGTTGCTCATTTTTTAATGTAAGCGGTCATGTTTAGGATCCGTAAAGAACCGTAGTTAGAATAACGGTTTCTAACTTTCAATTTTGATGTTTCGGGATAACGGCCACGATCTAAGAATTTTCGCAACTGAAAAATAGCAATCTCCTGTTGCTAGTTCTCACTTCTTCGATTTATTTTTTTCTTTTTAAATTATAATTCATATATATAATATTATAATAATAATTATTAAAGCTATAAATACATGAGCTATTCCTGTGTTGGCTTATACGTTTGGCGTGCTAAAATGGTCTAATACGGAACTGGAGGAAATGAATCGTTTGGTGAAAGTTCTTTTTACCTCAACCAGGAAACGACATCCCAAATCTTCAATTTAGAAGATGTACTTGCCATGGATAAAAGGAGGAAGTGGACTTGTCAGCTTATTAAGAAGCTGCAGAGAGCAGGAAAATAATTTAAGGTGCACTTTCCAACTAAGAAACTCTCCTGTATGGTCTGCCATAAAATCGCTGCATAAAGCCTAAACAGCTTTGAACTTAGTTTCAAAGGAACATTAAGATGGCCTTCCGAAAGAAAATATGATCGAAAGTTTAAAGGGTAAAACACTAAATGGTCACTTTTACAATGCCTTATCTCAATCGGGAATTAACTGGGAAGATTCTAATAAATGATTTAAGAAAGGATACTTATTGTCCGAAACTGAAGGGTTTATTTTGGCAATATAAAACCAGTTAGTATCCGCCTATGCTTACAAAAAATATTTGCGTGGAGAAGATGTAAGTGGCCTATGTGGCCTGCATTTCGCCTATGTGAAAATGCAATAGAGTCATTCCAGCATATTTCGTCGAGATGTCAAGCGTTGGCAGTTAAAGAATATCTTATGAGACATAATAATCTGGCTAAAATTGTTCACCAAGCCATGGCCTCATTAAATAACATGACAACCGACGAAGTTCCTTATTATCGATATGAACCCAAACCCGTGCTGTCAAAATAAAATAAAATAATATATTGGGATCGATCTGTAATTGCAGACCATAGGGTAGTAAATAACAAAACGCACATTGTATTAATTGATCGGAAGACACAAAGTGGGTATGTCATTGACATAGCGGTCCCAACCGACGATAATATCGAAAAGACTATTTCTGAAAAGAATAGGAAATATCAAGATTTGTGCCAAGAGCTTCGGAAACTTTACAGACTGAATCAAGTACAGGTATATCCAATTGTAATTTCTCCCAGACGATACCATTCGCTCTGTCAAAAATACTTTATTTGTTCTGGGACGAGTCTTTTAGAATAATAAAGAAATACAGAAATGTGGGCTAAGGGGCCTCAGAGATATATAAATAAAAATACAGAATAATTAAATAGTCATAATAAAAAATAACAAAATTATAAGTTACTGTTTAATTTTAATCAGTTAATAATAAAAAAATGAAAAAAATGAAGAACGATCTAATAATTTATATATATTTACAATTTAATGGGAACTGGATGGATACAAAATGATTGAACAGGTGGAATTTTAAGGTAGGAAGGGTATTGGATTGATGGATGTTAGAAGGGATGAGGATCGGATAATGAACGATCTGCCAAAAGCAGTGGTTGGTGGGCCCATGTGTATAAATCTGAAGACCGGGAACGAACAGAGGATTTGAATTGACCTTTATAGTACCCTTCCACACATCTAATGTTTTATTTACACTACTGCCCTAGTAAAACATAAATGAAGACAATCAGCAACTAATGAATCCAAAACTGAGGATGCAATATAAAATTTCTTCCAGGAATTTAATGCTCTTCAAACTTTTATGTGGCCAAGAACAGGACAGCAAATGATTTTAATCCTTTGACTGCAGACAGGATACATGCCTTACCCTTGTGCACCAGCAGTCACTGGTGCAGCATGGATATATGCCTACATGCCTGCCACATAAACAGGTAGGAGCAAGTGCTGCCTTCACCACTTGAGTTGTGGCTTGGTCAGTGCTTCCATTAGTCTGCTATAGCTCATTCAGTGCAGGTGTTCTGGATTTTGACCATTCGGAAGCGATCAGTTGCAGATTTATTCTGAACCCAAGGTATGTCCTTTCTCTGTTATTTGTATCATATCGATGATCTTATTTTTATTCTATTTAAATATTGTATATATAAAATAAATGGTAATAAGTTAATTTTATCATTTTTCTTTTAATTTTGGTTTTGACTGAATGCTGATTTTGGTACACATGAGTCTCTACTAAACAAATAAATGTTTCCCAATTTTTGTTATTTATAGCATTTCCAAGTCAATTTCAACCTTTTCCAAATCAAATTCAACCTTTTCCAAGTCAAATTAAACCTTTTCTAATTCAAATTCAACCTTTTCCATTTCAAATTCAACCCTTTCAAAGTCAAATTCAACTTTCGAATTTTTGTCAATTTTCGATTTTTTTCGAAATGAAAGCCACTTACTACATTATCGAAGGCATAGGCGTTTGAAAAAAAAAATTGATAACGCGGTCGCATATCCATTTATTTTAACATTTTAGATTTTTAAGTGTAATATTTCTATGTCGTATTCAATTATTTCCAAGTCAAATTCAACCTTTTCCATATCAAATTAAACTTTTTTCAAGTCAAATTCAATCATTTCCATTTCAAATTAAACATTTTCCAATTCAAATTCAACCGTTTTCATTTTAAATTAATGTTTTAATTTTTTTTAAATAATGGCCATCCCCTCTCCCCCACCAATATGAAAGTCCAGTATTATGCTCTCCTAAGTAGAATTTTCACTTACGGATATCGATTTGTTGTACCTATTCGGATTTATTAGGGACTAATATTATGCTGTCCTGTACCTAGTTTTAAATAACCTCCATTTTAAGATTACGCCACTGCGTTTCGACTTATTTAAGTTTTTTTGATTTATTCGATACAAGGGTGTATTCTTATGTTTTGCGGGACGTAAATTATGAAAATATGCTCCATTTTATGATTAGGCCACAGTGTTTTGACTTATTTAAGGTTTTTGAATTTATCCAATATAAAGGTCTACTTTTATGTTTCCGGAGCCGTAGATTTTGAAAACACTCTCCATTTTATGACTAGGCCACCGCGTTTCGATTTCTTTAAGTGTTTTGAATTTATTTCATAAAAGGGTGTATTCTTATGTTTACGGAGCCGTAGATTTTGAAAACGACCTCCATAAACTTAAATAAGTCAAAGCATAGTGGCGTTAACATAAAATGGATGTCATTTTCAAAATTTACGGATCGAGAAACATAAAAATACACCCTTATATAGAATAAATAAAAAAACAAATAATTCGAAACACAGTCACATAATCTTAAAATGGAGGTTATTTTCAAAAACTACTCATACCATAACAGACCCACAAATCGAAAAATTAAATAAATAAAAAAAGGTTTAATTTGATTTGTATAAGGTTGAAATTGACTTGGAAATGCATTAATCAAATTTAAAGTAATAAATGTAAAAATATACAGAATCAAAATGATGAATGATGCTTTAGTTGTTTTATCACTTTTCCATCCACTTAAAAACAATATACAAATATATATTTCATATAATATAATAGTGGTGTTTGAAACTTAAAATAAATAAGTGCAATAATAAAATTTTCAACTGCGTTCTTTTCAATATGAGAAGTTTTCTAAATAAAAAAAAAAATTTGTAACCACAAAGAAATACATGATTCAAATCCTACTGTTGGTGTCTTTTTATATTTATTTAGAAATAATATAATTTAATTTTTATGACCATTTGGTTATTTTACTTTTCAGAAATAAGCAAATACGCAAGAAAGCGAAGTGCTGCGGGATTGCCATTATAATTTTGTATTGCTATGTGCAGCCAGGAAGGCATATTCCATTTTTTAAAAGTTAAATAAAAACGTTATTTTTTGCAGAGTGACTTCAACATAGCACTTAAAATAAATTTATGCAAAAAAAAATTCATTTTTATTTAATGTCTGAATTTCGGGATGCAACATATGGTAGAAACTCGTGAATGAGCACCCGCAGTGAAAGGGTTAAGCAAAGAGATCTATTTATTTTAAATAATAAAACTAGATTAAATTCAATTATGTTTTCAAGACAAACAGATATTTCATTTGATACAACTAGATATAATATTTATAGAAGTATGTTTTAAATGCAAAAGCAGGGAAAAGGTATACACAATAAATAAAAAATGATATTGTCCACTTTATTTAATAAAAACAAATAGACAATAAGTATTTCTTTATACAAAATAAAAACTTAAACCATCCTTCTGAGAAGAGCATTGATTTTGTCTTCCCGGCAACCAAAGTCTCCTCCTTCAACATAATGATTTGTCTTCTTACGCCAGCCTCCAGTTGGTGTGTTTAGCTAAACCATAAAAAAATATTTTGGTAAATAAATAAATAATAATATTCAGCACAAGGAAAAATTTAGAACAAGGTTCTAAGAAAACTTATAGCCTAGTAATTCAATTTAGCAATCATACATAATTATTCTATATACTAATTGTATAATTGTCAGATATAAATTTCTTAGTTATAAAAAAACAATTAAGTGGCCATCATTTATACTAAAATGTTATATTTTATTGAATTTATGGTAACAGTGAGCTATAGATGATGTTGCCATCAAGTTTAAAAAAAAAAATAAACAATAAAAATAATTTATAAAAATTTAAAAATTAAAGTATGGATAAGATACTATAAATAATGAGCCATAATTTGAAGAAATAGCATACAAGCACTAAACTAATGTCTTTAGAATAACAGATAACTAAAATCTGCTAAACTAGCATATTAGTAAGGTTAATTATTTGTAAGACTGGCAAATCTAATTTTTACATATATAGTCAAACTTAATACTTATTAACTAATCAGTTATTTTACAACAGTTGGAAGGGCAAAGGAAATATATTTCTATGACCATGGATCTGTTGAAACCAAAAATATTACATCAATGAATAATCGAGACGCTTAACTATCATTTTTTTTTTTTGTAAAGTAAATTACTTTAAGACTGACAAATTAATACTTATCAACCAATCAGTTATTTTACAACAGTTGGAAGGTCAAAGGACATATATTTCTATGAACATGGATCTGTTGAAACCAACAATATTACATCAATAAATAATTGAGATGCTTAACTAGGATCTTATTTTTGTAAGGTTAATTTGTTTGTAAGACTGGCATACCTAACTTTTACATAGATAGTAAAAATTAATACTTATTAACCAATCAGTTATTTTACAACAGTTGGAAGGTCGGAAGAAACATATTTCTATGACCATGGATCTGTTGAATCCAAAAATATTACATCAATGAATAATTTTATCATTAGGCAAATATCTCATTGGAAAAAAAAATTAAGTTCTTTCTTATACATATACTCAACTCAATAATAAAATCTTATAACAATAATCAATAACAATTAATTTTTTGATAAACTATAGTTAGAAATGTAAAGAATAGTAACTGAGCAAAAAGCCAACTGATGAACATACCTTAAATGGCCAGAGGAAGTTGGAAGCATATTTGAAATTTGGCCCAACAGTGAAAATCTCGTGTATTAGATCTTCAATACAGATGATATTGCTTTTACCTGAAATTATTTAAATTTATTATAAAATACTTTAATAACAAATATTCAAAATAGAAAAATAAGGCGTAGTTGACTGATCCGAAACTTAATGAGGTAAGTACTGTCCTGTACTGAAATATGACTGATGTCAGATATTTATTAATTTTGTTAACAGATCTCAAAAGAACCCAGGAAGCTATGTCAGCATCAGACATTTTCTATTCAGACAGCCTTATAATTTGCCGAGGATATTTATAACATAAAGCCTATATTAAAACCAGATTTTATCAACACAAAGGAACCACGATATTGCTTCTATTTCTCTAAATAAAAAAAAAACACCTTAATAAAGGGTTACTATCTTCAACCATAAATAATAATTAAATGTAATTTATTATAATAAACCTCACATTACCTAGTTTTCTTTCAATCATTTCGTTTGAAGTGATAGGGATACGCTGACCCTTAATCTTGGCAAATCCACGCTTATAGATCAGTTCCCGAACACTTTTCAGATTTGGATAGCCCCATGTGATATAGGGTTCACAGATACGCATCATGTTGATAGTGGCCTAAAACCAAGAGAGGAAAAAAAATGTGTAAGAAGATAAGAAATTTACCTTAAATCAATATAGAGTAATTATGTATAAATAAATACCTTGTTAAGTTTCATAAATACTCCATTGTTGATCTGCCTTAACCTGAATAACTGTAAAACTTTGCGCACCTTAGGAGCCACTTGATTAATACTGTGAAACATTATAAATAATTTAGTTGAAAATCATAACAAAATACAATATAGAAGGGATAAAATTTGGCTAGTTAATAAAATAGAATTTATAAATGGTTTTACCCTCTGATCCTAATGATGAAAGCCAATTTGGGTTCACCAGGAACATAGTAATTACCCTTAGACCTGGCTTTCCGTGCCAAACGGATCTCATCTCTTTCCTTATTTCTGTATTCCCTTATATAGTGTTCTGCGCGTTTGAAGATTAACTTCCTCTTCTTGTACTTCTCAAGTTTTTTCTGAAATAATAATCATACATATATTTAGCTCATTTGACTTGAACACTAAGCATATACAGTAAACAGGTCACCAAGAATATATAAAAATTGGTTTGTCTCCTAGTATTTAGGAGTCTTGAAGTTCACATAAAAATCTTAAAATCCCAATTTGTCCTGTCTTGATCCATTTCTTACCACTCCCAGAATTGAAGCATAGCAAAATGTTTATACTGATATCTTAGAAAAAAAAAAAAAAAAAAAAAAAAAACAGCTAGTATTATTCAATAATCCAAGGTGAAATTCTGAATCAAAAATACCCCGTTTATAGTGTTAAAGCATGACAGGGCTTATATTTGGTACAAAACTGATTTAGTGTTAGTGAAATAATATAGAAAATTTTCTTTAGCACTAAAAACAATGGGAATATTATCTCTAATCCTGGTTTATATTTATTTAACAATGTCAAAAAACCCATTTTTTAGATTAAAAATATTTAAGAAAAACTGCTTTATTTAGGGCGACATTTCTTTAACACATATTTTTAAGAATATAATTAGAAAATAAATACTACTAGTTCACAAGTGTTCCATTAGGATGATGTATGGACCAATATTATTACCACACTTAGTACATGAAAAGCTAAAATTAGCATGGTAGCACAGTTTAAGTATTTAGGGTCACTGGTAACATCATCACAATGCACCCGAGGTCGAGGTCAAGAAAAGAATATTTATGGCTAACAAGCATTACTTTTTACTTCGCAAGGACTTCACCTCTCGCCTTTTATCCCAGCATAACAAACTCCATCCCTATAAAACACTAATCTGCCCAGTCCCGCTCTATGCTTCAGAAACATGGACAACTAAAAAAATTGAGCAAGACGTCCTAATCTTTGAGAGAAAAATTCTTCGAAGAATATTTGGAGGAGTACAGATTGATGGAAATTAGAGAATACGGACTAACGCCGAAATTTACTCAATTTTTAAGGATCAAGATGTCGTTCTGAGGATGAAGCTTGGAAGACTGAGATGAGCTGGCCACGTGGCAAGGATGGAGAATGAAGCAATCCCTAGGATGATCCTGACAGAACCTCTCTACGGCACAAGAAGAAGAGGGAGACTAAAGCTAAGATAGTCAGACGGTGTGGCAAGAGATTCAAGGGATGTCCTGGGTGTCAGGAGCTGGATGATGGCCACACAGAACAAAGATGAAAGGAGGAAACTGGTGGAGTAGGCCAAGACTCGTCACCGAACTGTAGCGCCGTGCTAATAATAATAAAGATTACCCATGATTCTAATAAACATAATTATCACCCAATACCGTAACTTCTACCTACAAATAAATAAAGAAACCAGTGTGAAATAAATTATACATAACTCAAAACTTATTTTGTGCGTCGATGACTGAATAATGAAATAAATATAATCGTTATGATCCTAACCAAAAATAAAGATAATCTCAACATTGTACGTTTTATAATATTTTAAGCACAATAACTATAATTATAAAGCAAGAAATCTGAACATAATAAGTTATTAAATTTGGGAAACAAACGATATGAAATAAGGACTGACAAACTAAATCTAAATAACGTAACAACAGAAATTAAAAAGTCTATTAATAATTTATGTTTTCATTGATTGAAGAGGAACTAAGCAAACAAGGTATTCATGGCTTATAATGAAACACAACCAAGTCTAACATGAAAATTTTAATGCATAAGTATATTTGTAACCAAACCTATAATATCAAGGAATAAATGAAACCTAGCATTAACATTTGTTTTATTGCTAAAATATTATTTTGAACACTAGGCAACTTCTGGTTGTGTCTAGACCCACAATCATCTAGACAAAAGAGTACTTGTGAACTAGTATAAAAAGAATTGTTTAACGCAAGAAATTGATGAATATACTCTAATTGTTCATCATAACAAAAGATCCACCTTAACATACCCTATCTTGTAGAAAATCTTTAACTTTATAAGGACAATATTAATATACCACCTGTTTATAGAGCACTGACTGGATATATGGAATAAGCATATACACTTGAGTAACAAATGTGTAACAAACACAATAAAAAACCTACTACTAATAGTTAAATAATGGACATAGCAATAATATACTGTAATAGGTAAACAAGTTGTGAATAAGAGCAATTGGGAGCAAACATTGAATCAAATTTTCATCATAATCCATATTAAACTACATTATGAAACTTGTAAATATTTAATAACACCATGGCCTTACCTTAAGTTGTGCCTTCAACTTAGAAGCTTTAGATGCATCTCTCCTTCTTCTGCTTTTTAAGACAGTTTCAGGTACTGCAGGAAGCTTCTTAGAAGTTACTTTTCCCTTACTTCCTTCTTTCTTCTCTGTTTTTGGGGGTGCTGGAGCAGGTTTCTTAACCTCTTTCTTCGCGCTGTAAAAACAAAAGATTACTAAGAAAACAACAATAGTAATTTAACAATAGGCGTCCATTGATTAAGACGAAATAGTGAGCTTAATAAGACAACATCGTATGTTTATAAATAACATTGTTCTTATAATAAGAATTCAATGACAAACAATCAGCATGTTAACGCATATGACCAAAACAGGTTAGTTGGGAGAATATTGCAACTTTTTTTACATTTATTCATTTTACATGAGATATAAAACAACCTTTTTAGCTATTAATGCAATTTGACTTAAAATAAGACTATGATTAATAAATAATACTGCGATAAATTTCGATAAAAACGTGTGTACTTACGTGTCAGCCATTGTTAAAGAGGCGAAATTCCGAATGAACCGGTGCTGCTTTGTGTCATTTCCAAAAACTATCCCACAAGCGCAGTGTAGCCAAAACTTGTTTTCTTATTAAATCACATTCCTGTTAGTATTAATATTTAAAATATTTGATATTTGTTGCTTATTTAGTGATATTATTATTTTGATAATTCACATTTCCTATTATTTATATATGTTTAAAACTCATAAAGTATACATTCTTTCTTTTTATAATCTTGAGTGAGAAAAATTATCCCTAAACCATTAATGAAAAAAAAACAAATACAAATTACTCTACAACTGCTAACCATAGCAAAGGTAGAACCAGTTCTTTTTTCGTTATACCAATGAATTTATCTTTTTAGTACCGATGAGTTCAAAAAACATTTTTTTAAATTCAGTCATCTTCCCTCCCCCTTAGCATGGTAGCTTTCTTTACGCTAATTATTGGACCTTTGACATTAGTACTTTACATCTCCTTATACTTTGTCAATGCCTGTTCTAAGCCAGGATAAAAAAATAGGAGGGGGAGGAGTGACAACTTTATTACAAAACCTGGATTCAGTTGGGCCTGGCTGATAGCACCCAGTAAGGGCCCTTTTCTAGAGTTACAGGAGGCAAAGGGGTTGTTGTAGAGGGAAAAGAATCTCCTGTGCATGTTCTGCAGAGTCACTGGGATGCATTACCGTATCTCTCTATACCCAGTGCCCCTCAACACCGTTATCTTCACCAAAACCTACCACTGACCTCCTACCTGTTAAGAGCTTGGTGTTCTCTGGATTACCGATCCAGCATTGGTAAGTGAATGGTGGAGGCATCTCTCCCACAGAGAGGACCTTCTACTTGAAAAGGCTAACTTGCCTGAAAGCTGAGAGGAGGCAGCCCCTCTGCCAGAATTTGGGTGTAGGTGGACTAATTACCCACTCACCCGAGATAAAAATTATTATGAGTGACGTAATAAATAGAACTGATCAGATTTCAAGGAATATGACACGGAATGGAAAACGGACATTTAGAATTTTCACCTAGAAACATCAGAAGTATCCGTGGGAAGAAAGAGGAACTGGCAGGAAAAATTCGAAAGGTAAATGTGAACTTCTTATTAGTTTTAGAACAAAGACTAAAAAGAAAGGAATGGAGACAAATGTTGGGAACTTATACTACTGTACTCTGGAGTTTACCAACAAGGGCAAAACAGGACTGAAGCAGTTCCTCCAGAAATGACGTGGGCAAAGCCCCTATATAACATGACAAGTTAATATTCACTGAACATATTAATTACAACATTAATGATGAACATATAACGGAGGACTCATCAAGTTATAAAAATGACCCTTAGTATGGTCAAGACGTCAAATTAATGCATATCAATAAAATGTTGGTGAAAATTGGCCTAATTTATTGTAAAAAATAAAAAACTTCAAGGCATCAAAAGTAGGAAAAATGAACAGAAGAAATATTTCTTGTTTTAATTTAGATATTTTCTTGTTTCCATTTTGCAGAAAAAAATGCATAAGTCCTAATTTTAAAATTTTGCAAAAAAAAAAAATTAATGAAGTTTAGCACAGATAAAATGAATTTCTAGCAAGTGTTGGCAAACCAGTTATGTATATTCCCCTGTACTATTTTAAACCTAAAATCAAAATTTTTCCCTTAATCTGCCAACCTTAATACTAAATGCTTTATTTTTATTTATCTACTATTGTAGCCAAAATTACCCCTCTAGAATAGATGAGGATGAATTATAAAAAAAAACTTTAATTTATTTAATGTTCTAAAAATATCAACATGGTTATCAAGATCCAGTACAGTTCCAAAGGAACTTTTAAAGATCTAAATTGTACTGTTTTCCAGATAAATGTTAATTTTTCTTGAAAGCATCTAATGATATCTATAGTTGCCTTAAGGTACTCATAACATATTTAGGTTTTAAAATTTTCAATATTGCTATTTGCAATAGTATTAGACCAGTTGGGCCGGATCCAGCCCTCAAGTGCCTCCAACCAGGTTGCAAAAGTTTTTTTGATTACGTGGTAAAAATGTAAACATTATCTTAAAAATGTGAAATTTAGTCATTTATTTTAACACAAGGTTTTTATAACATTTATTGCATATGTTAAAACAACCTGTACCACTACAACCCATGAAGGGTCTTGGGTTCAGTAATATTTAGGAAAAGTACTGTTACAAGGCCAACGGTTGTGCAGGGAGGGGATTGGGCCAGAATCATGCACAACCGCTTTTCTGCTATGAGCATGTGTTATTTATTTGTTTTAAAAAGCTCATTTCATAACTGAAGTGTCATTTTTAGAACAAGATTTTTTTTTCACTAAAAGTCGTAGCCTATGGGACATAGTGGTCTCAGAAATGTTTTGATAATTTTAATCAATAAAAAAATATCCAGGTACGGCTTCTATACTCCCAATAGACGACTTTGATACTCATAGCACTGGCAGATCTACTGAAGCACATGGAAATGCAAGAAGAAAACATATGGTGGAACTTTCTGAAAAAATAACATTTACAAGGGCTGGAGTATTTTATTTCATAAACAGCCATAATCGGGCAAATAAAAATCTTCTAACATTAAATATGTAGAGGATATCGGTGTCAATTTAAAGTCTTATTATTATTAATTAGCTTTTCTGAAAAATTAATAAGTCAAGCACTTATTCAATTATAGTTTTCATGAAAATGTAACTATTATGAACGTTTAGGTAACCACTTAATACAAGAAGAATCAATTCTCATGATAGAAATCTGTGTAAAAACACATCCACATTATGGCTTAGGATATGATTTTTGTAAAACCATTATATTTTATAATTTTGGGTTGAAGGTTGACTGTAGTGAATAATGAAGAGAAGGATAGTTGGGGTGATCAGTCAAAATAAAAATGGTAAAAATAAATAATAATACTTATTTTAACATTTGCCGACGTTTCGACCCAAAGTTCAGTCCTGATGATTTATTTTTGCCATTTTTATTTTGACTGATCACCCCATGATCCTTCTCTTCATTATATTTTATCATTTTATTTGTTATAAATAAAAAGTATATTTTTTGAATAATTTACAATTGATCCCACATCATAGAAAAGAATATGAGACTTAGGAATAAGACTCTTTGTTTGAAATATTAAAAAATTTTCACCTACAAATAATTATTGTTTATTTATAAAGTCATGTAATAAATAATTATTAAAACAAAATTATTTATTTAAAAAATATTTTTGAATCATTTTGGGGTACAAAATATTTATTTTCAAATAAAATTATTTCTAGTGAATATTTCTTTATGCCTGAAACATGATATTAAATTCTTAATAACAAATGATATATATATGAAAAAAACATTTATTATTTTCAAAACATGGAATAACTAATAAAGTTTTCTACTCAGAATTCGCAGACCAAATATCTGATCAGGCCAGAACAATGCTTATTATAAATATTTAACATTAAGTTAAATTAAAAACACTAGCGCTCTGGGGTGACAGGATATTAAATCACATAATTTTTTGACATCACTAAAGGTGAATCTCAACATTTTTCAAAACAAACCTCAACTTAATTCATTTGACCTTAAACCTTATTAAACAAGGAATTTTTTTGAAATTGGGGTAACTGTACTCAAGTTTGAGGATGATAAAAAAAAAAATTTGCACATAATCAATGACTATATTATGAAAAACAGAACAAAGCATAGTTTAGCCACATAAAAATCTCTTATAAATTAATTTAATGAAGACAAACTTTACTTGCATTTAAAGTAAATTTTGTCTAGTTTAATTGCTTCAATTAAACAGTTTTATAGTAATAGCTTCTGATTCAACAAAAACGTGACTTGCTTAAATATACAAAACTTAAATTTCCTACTTTATTGTGGAACATTAGACTATTATTTATAAAAACTTTTTAGTAGCTCTTAAAGTCTGCTATCATCCATTATGGCATACCCTGTATATTCAATATACATATCTATATTATAAGCTAAAAAAACTAAGCAATTTCCAATATAAGTTGTAATATTCTGCAATAAACTCTTTAGACACACAATATTGGCACTCCTTCAATAATATCGAAAGAGGTTCAATGAAAATTTAAAAAAAAAATTGGAATTAGCTAATTACTTCTGTCCATCCCAATGATAATACATTTCTGATCATTACAAAAATTCTAAGGGTAAGTATTTTTGACCAATTATTAAAACGACGGAGAAAAAAGTAAAAAAAAAAAATTGTTTTCAATTTATTTATTTATAGACTCTCAATGGTTAAAACATAACTAATTTTGATATTTACAAACAATGGTAGATTAAAAAACAAGATTAGTGTATCAATGATCATAATAAGCCTTATTTTTTTACAATTATTAAAAAATAAGAGATCTCTTTCTTAAAAACTAGATCACTTTAAATATTACAAAATTTTTTGCAATTTTCATTGCCTGTAAAAAAGGTTTTATACATGTTGGCAGTATTACTTAATCTACAAGTCGTTGACATTAGATAGCTTTGTCCAGGAAAATTACTGTTTTTACCAATTTAATAGTCTTTCAAAACCAATGCTAATGATTCCTGCAATATTGAAATTGTTATCCTGAAAATTCAAACAATGATCAGTGGGCAACAAATCACCTTGCATAAGCAATATTTCAAAGAATTCCTATTTTTGAAAAAAATATTGACATACTGTCAATAAACATTTCTTAATCCTTAGCAGTATTCTAGTTATATGACAAACTAGTTTCCAATGCAGTAGTACTACTTGATAAAGTAAAAAAAAAGAAAATTATTCAATAATTGCTGGAAACATATTAACTTGGCAAAATAGAGTTCTATCAACAAAGAACTATTAATATTTTAAAATTACTACAAAACTTCTAAGAAACATTTTATGATTATTATCTATTCATAGTAATGTTTAAAAGTAAAAAGTATTAATTTAAAAAAAAATAATATTGAAAAATATACATTTTTATGATATGATCCTTTACTTGTAATAATATATTCTGTCACTTAATAAATTAGTACTAGTTTATAAATTATAAATCATATTATTATTATTCACAAGCCTGATTATTAAAAAATATCTTCATAGTCACATATTACAAAATAACAGAGAAGAAACAAATATTCTTGTCAATGTAATCTCATATTTCAATCACATTACAATTATTTTTCACCACTTGAATCTAATATGAGTTGCATAGGGAACATTAACAAAAAGAAGAAACACCTTTATCTATGTGATAAGGTGACCAATGAAGCAGAACTATATTGTAGCAATTAACTAAAAAAAAAATGTAAACAGGAGCATATATTTCTTATAATTAAAGTTAAATATATAACATACAATTAATGAATAGTATACTCGTATAAAATTCTTGATTATATACAGTATAATATAATATCCATATTATGTCTAATATACATTTCACTACTCTTAAGATACATAAAGATTTAGAAATATTATAGCAGTATACCATAGTTATATATGCAAATATAAAATTAAATAATGATAGCTAATATATGAAAAATATGCAAACAAACTTATGAATACTATCATATGTGATTAAGTATACTTAAATGAAAATGTCATTACAAATATTTAAAATTTATTATAAATGAATTTCACTTCAAAAATAGGAATGATGTTTATCTTAATAATTAGTTTAACTGAGTATCAGGACTAGAAAATGACATTAGAAATTTTATTTATTTTTACTTTAAAAAATATTCTAAAACACCATATAAAAGAAATAATTTACCTGACATACAACAGATATCAAGCATAATATTCAAACAAAGTAAATTAAAATTTCACATAAGTTAACAAAGGAGATGATTTATGTACAAAATGGACCAACTATAAATTTTATTTACATTTACTTACATATAGTAAAATTATTATATTAGGTAAATATAATAATCAATTATTTGAATTGATTATAACAAACATCTAACAGTCTAAAAAGAATTTTTGGTAATCTCCTAATACAGTGCTAATATTTTCTCTATTGTAATCTAAATAATCACTGAAAATGTATAAAAAAATAATTAATATATAAAACTTGAAAAATATGAGTATTAGGGATAATACATGGTTACTTAATTTAAAAAGCATTCAAGGATGTTAGTTTTTATTAATTACAATCTACTATAACAGAGAATTATTTTTTTAAGAAACACCGTTTCAGAATAAATGTTTGGGATTAGTTAAAAACTAATCCAATAATTGGACAATATTGGATGTTAAAATGTATTCATTAACCTATTAACCGGGCGGGACGTATAAATACTTCCTTGAAATATATGTTGCGTCCTGGAACGGGAAGGACCTATAATTTCGAAGAACAGAGGTATTAGGCAAAAAAAATTTGTTTTTTCATTTATTTTAAGCATAAGTAAAAAAATATATAATATGAAATTGAGTCCTCCGGGAGTGGTTAGGGTACTGACACGTTCTAGTGAAAAAGTTTGCGCCCATTATATGCTGCTTAATTAAAAAGGGAATTTCCCACTTAACAGGTTAATGAATAATTTTTTGATATTATTAATTTAAATATATTTTTTTTATAGACTTAAACGAGACATAGAAATAAGAATATTCGATTGAAATATTAAAAAATTATCACCTAGAAATAACTATTGTTTATTTATAATGTCATGTAATAAATAATTATTAAAATAAAATTATTTATTTAAAAAATATTTTTTAATCGTTTTGGGGTAATAAATATTTATTTTCAAATAAAATTATTTCTAATGAATATTTCTTTATGCCTGAAACGTCATATTAAATTCTTAATAATAACAAATGATATATATGAAAAAAAACATTTATGATTTTCAAAACACGGAATAAAGAATAAATTTTTCTACTCAGAATTCATAGATCAAATATCTGACCAGACCAGAACAATGCTCCTCTAACTTTCGACAGATATAATTTTGAGAGTATAAACTGCTTCATTCCTCGGGTCCGAACTGAATAATGAAAGCAGCATAATTAATAAAGTAAACAGAAAACTAATGGCCGCTAATGGGAAGTAACAGTGCCAACATGAGATTTTTTAAACCCTCACATCTGTCGCAGATCACTAAAACCAGGCTAATAATTAGTTTGAACATTGATAAGGAATGTTTTAACCTATGGTGCTGAAACCTATTCCATGTTGAGATGACAAAGAGTCTGAAAGTATTTGAGTGAAAGATCCTTAGAAAACAATATGGAGTACAAACCATGAGCTCTACTCACTATACCAACATACAATGTGCCATGTAAAAGGGATGTCAGATGACAGGATGCCGTGCAGATTGCTGCATGGTGTGGTCATGGGAGTAGCCAGGTGGAGAGAGAGAGAGTCTGAGACAGGAAAGAATGGAGAAAGTTTGTCAGAGAACCCAAGGACCAGTTCGGTTGTAGAGCTACCCAGTATTATTCACAAATTATGAATAAAGAAAATTTATTCATATCAAAATAAATTTATCCAGATCAGATTAAAACTATTTAATGTGCTTTATGAACTATACATATAATCACGTCCTTAAAACAACAGAAATAACAATGTTAATAAAGGCCAACCCCACCCTTCCTCAGTTCGGCCATCAATAATTGTCCAAGGTATAGGAGTGTATCCTAAAGACAACAGAAACAGTATTTCGCTACTGTTAGTGCAAAAAAGGTCGTATGCAACAATTTTCTATGTTAATTCAATTTGCGTTAAAGATGACATTTTGTGGTCTGCAACTATGGAAAATGAAATATTCAATTGTACTTACCAATCATAAAGAAATAATCAGTTGAGTTAAAAAACTCAATTTTTACAAACGACCTTATGCATTAACAGTAGCGATATGGCTTGCTCAGTTAATAAAGGCAACCCCTACTCCCCTATTCCTGTTTCTCCACTCCTCCATTCTTCCGATCTATTCCTGTTCCCCCACCCTTCCTCAGTTCGGCCATCAATAATTGTCCGAGGTATAGATGTGTATCCTAAAGACAACAGAAACAACAGTATATGGCTTGCTCAGTTGATAACGGCAACCCCTACTACCCTATTCTTCCTTCTATTCCTGTTCTCTCACTCCTCCATTCTTCCAATCTATTCCTGTTTCCCCACCCTTCCTCAGATCAGTTATCAATCATTGTCTAAGGTAAAGGTGTGTATCCTAAAGACAACCTAAACAACATTGGTTTTCTCAGTTAATAAAAGCATTGATAATAAAAAGTATTTATTTCAAAGATCCGGAGTCAACCAATCATAACAGTAAGCCAAACATTTTTTCTTTATGTCAATAATAAAGAATTATACAATACCCTGAGCTTTTAATATCTTCAAAATAAATAATCTGGACTAAGGATATACCAACAGAAAAAAAAATTTTTTTTTGAACAGCAGAAATCAGTAATAGTTAATGTTTAATGAGGATGAACCAATACCATCAAAATAATATTTAGTGTGAATAAATACCTGTAAATAATACTGATTGTAAAAAAATACCTTCTGGAATTTGAAATACCTTCTAATTTAATCTATAAAAGACCAAAAATATATGTTGTTCTATAACTAGACAAACATAGAGTAAACAAATTATTTATACCATCTATTCATAGAAATTTAATTGTAATTTTTCAATTACAAATAAGTTTGTCGATAAATATTTGGTTTACCCTATCATATTTTATTTTATATTAAAAATGACTATTTATTTAAATATAACTTTCTGCTATCTTGGTTTATTTAACATTTAAATTCTAAGAGGCAAAACATGTATTTTATATAGTTGGAGGTACTAAAATATAAATATTTAAATTGCATCATTCAAATATACATATCGGAACGGTACGTCAGAAGATTTGTACAAATATAAAAACAGGATTAATTAAGTTGATTAATACTGGATTTAAAAACATTTCAATATGATTAATAACACAGATTCCAAAATTTCTGTTTCAATTCTAAATTTTTGAATTACAAGTTAGAATTGATATTAAAAATTTTTAAAAGTAAAATGTTTCATCAGAAATTAATTTAACTAAGAAAATGAATTCCAATACACCCTTCTTGTGAAAAATGGAATCGAACAAAATAAGTAATAAATCCAGTAATAATAAAACCTCTCACAACAATTGTAACAATAGATCAAGTGTATATACAGATATTCCCAACTAGCCGCTATAACAAAATTTAAAAAATGAATATATACCAAACTAGGTATTAAAAATAATTACAACAGTCAGAGGATTAACGATGATGTTAAAATGACTTCACCCAAAGCTTACGGTCCACCACAGAAGAGAACAAAGAAATTTAATAATAGGTTAATCATTTTTTAATCAATAATTTCCAGAAATTTAATAAACAAACAAAAAGACATGAAGACGTACTTTGCCTGAAAATAATATTCAATGAACAAATCTGCTAAAAATAAAATAAAAAAGAAATCAAAATTTCTTCTTTTTTTACATTACTTTTTTTATTTATTGTCTGATAAGAAATAAGATGAACATTCATGAAGAGCTCATTGTAGTTCCTGTAAAGTTGTTTGATGACATTTGTTTTAAATTTTATTCTTTTATAACTGATTCATCTTATTTTAATTTTAAATGAAATTAATAAATTGATAAGCCCAAGTCGATGATAATACACTAAATTGTATATCAATTTCATGTTAATGGTAAATATAGAAAATTATAACAATGAAATGTTTAACACGTGAGAGACGAGATATGATCAAATAAATAATCTACTCAATGTATAATCACCTTATAAATATATTTTGTTGATAAAGTTATTATGGAGTCTTGTGTAACAACAGACTTGAAATGGAGAAAGAAAACAGAAAGAGAAAAGAGGATTACTACCAAGGTGCCTGGTTTCCAGGAAAATCTTAGATGCCAAACCTTTTGGTCCTTATGTCCAACTTCTTACAAAACCGAGCAGTCTCGACTGAATTAAACCTAACACACTACTTCTAGAACAATTACAACAATTGAAACAATAAATATCAATTTTCGAACTAACCAAACTAAAATTCCTCTGAAACAATATCATATGGTAAGGATGAAAATGAATTAATTATATACAAATCCATACTCTTACATGATTTAAATTAATCTCAGGTCATTTAAAACAATAAAACAGAACTAATTCACATGAAAGTTGTTCTCTATCCTCGGTAAACAAAACAGAAGAGAATTCAGTAATAATGAGTAGCTTTGAGTTGAACAGAGATTCCAACCGAGGGCAGCTACAGCCTCGTTATCAGGTCCTGTTATAAAGCTGCTTGTTGCTGCCTCGCGAGAACTTTAATGGGGATGAACTGCTTGCTGGTGTCGTTCCACAGGTCGCGCGACCGGCTTCTGCTACCTCGTGCTTCCTCTTCTTCTCGCAGCCTTTTCCTATCAATATAATTTATGAGGCAGCTGGCTGGGATCCAGATCAATGATGTAACTATTATAACTGCTCCAACAACATTATCTCTCAAAATGACGAGAACTTTGTTAATGTTTATGTCTTCAATGATGTCCCAGAAACGTTCAACGACATCCTGTATGGTTTTTTCACACACACCCTATAAAGAGTAAAAAAACAAAAAACAAATTAGTGAATAATATGTAAATGACTACATCATGCTCACAATTTTAATATATATATATATATATATATATATATATATATATATATATATATATTTTATTTATTCATGAAATTTACAACTCTATAAATTAAATATACATCTAGTAAAGGTGTACAGAGAGATACAATAACATGAAAAAAATTGTAGAGAATCTACCCATTGGGAACACTTTAATAAAGTATCTATAATAGGAGATCACGAGATCATCATCTTCTTTTCAGACGCCTCAGGCAGTTATCAGTTATTAGAAACGAGAGGATTAGGATGGTTTTGAAGTTCAATGTGAAAAGATACGTATCTGGATTGGATCAAATCGGAAAAATATAGGACATTAAGATCGTTATGGATGATTTTTTTTGTGACAAAGTAAAGAGCATTAAGGATTTTGGATTGTAAGGATTGGACACGAGAGGAATTCGGTGGCTTAGTGGAGCCCCAAAGCTAAACTCCATATGTCCAAATAGCCCTTATTATAGTCATGTATATGAGTCTTTTGTAGTTAATTGGGAGTTTAAGATTGTTTGTGTAGTAAGTGCTGAATTAGTTCGAAACGTCGAGTGGTTTCTTGTCTTTTTAGTCTGATATAAGGATTCCAAGGCAGACGTTTGTCCAAGTGCAGTCCCAGGTATCAGATTTCTTCAACTGGGATAAGCGGAGTATTATTAAAGGACACTGTGGGACAAGAAGTCATAGGTTTCCGCCAAAGTAAAAGGTAATTTCTTGGGATTATTGCAATTTATTCTGATTTGCCAGTTTTGACACCATTCTTCAAGATTTGTGATTGAAGAGTTTGGGATGCAATTTATGGGTTGTTATTAACTGACAGGAAACATGTGTCATCTGCATAGGTGTTTTTTAAATTAATTAATCGTTTTTCTAGCATTTTTTTTTATTAATTTTTTTTTTGTTTCCTTCATATTTCCATCCACACCTTGACAATAAGCAGATGTGCTGTAACTAATCCGAAAAATTGACATTTTAGGCATGAGGAAAAAAATAGTACCCAGCAGCACTTCTTCCTGGTCTTGATTTATTTCCTTGATTCAAGAAAGGAGATCTCTCATCCAGCTCCTCTTTAGTCGTTTCCTGATAGGCATGTCAGCTGTGGCCATGTTGTTAATAAGTCCGTGTAGTTTAAGAAGAAATCTGGAGTAGAGATCACGTATGTGTTGGTCGATAGTTGGTTGTGGTAAGTCGTTATGTAAAGTTTTGTTGTTTATATACCAAGGAGCACCTGTTATAAATCGTAAAATTTTGGATTGAAATGTCTGTAGTTTTTATAAGTGTCTTTTTTGCAGAACCGTAAATTTGTGAGGCGTATGTCCATATGGGTTTGAGTAGGTAAGTGTATGTATTGAGTTTTTGTCTGATTTTCAATTTTGATTTGGAAAAAAGTGAGTACAGTATTTTCAGTCGCTTGTTTAAGGTCTGTCGTTTCATTTTGAAGTGTGGGCCCTAAGTCATCCTTCTGTCGAATATTAGTCCCAGGTAACGTACTGTATTTGTCTGAGGAATTTGGTTCTCTTCTATATAAACTGGTGGGCATGTTTCTTGTCGAAGTGTAAATGTTATATGTTGTGACTTGTCATGATTTAATCTTATTTTCCAAAGTGAGTACCAATTTTGTAAAGTCAGCAAATGATTTTGTAAATTCAGTGAGACTAGTCTAGGATCGTAGTGTTTTGTTAAAATTGTTGTATCATCAGCGTAAGTAGCAGTCAATGTTTCGGAGGTGGTAGGCATGTCATGAGTATAGATAATGTAGAGTAAAGAAGCTAATATTGACTTCTGTGTACTTCTGCTGACACTGGTCGAATTGAGGAAATTTCTAAGCCCTGTCAGACATAGAAAAATCTGTCGAAAAGGAAAGACTGAATTTTATTAATTTAACTTTTAAATAGTAGTCACCTTTATTCACCTTTAAATAGTAGTCACCCTATACAGCAGATGTGTAAATGAAAAACCGGATTTCCTCCATAGATGGCTCTAGTAGTTTGCGAGGTTACTATTAAACTGTATTGGTACTATTTTGTTTAAATAGTTTTGAACATGTTGAGTTTTGTGCATACAAACCACAATTTGGTGAGCTTTCTCTTGATAAATCACAATGCTTTAAGTGGTTTAAAATATTCAAAAGTGAAGATTCATCTGGGAAACGAAGAACTTGGAAGATCAGCGAAAAAGTTTGAAGACAGCGAATTGTAACAACTTGTGGATCAATTGAACGTAACATAGAAACTGCCTCTAAACAATTGAAAGCCATGGGAAAGATTCACAAGATGAGAAAATGGGTCCCACAGGAACTAAATAGAAGACAGCAAAAAAAAAAAAAAACACCTCTGAAATGTTGCTCGCCAGGTACAAAACGTCATTTGTCATCAGTTCACACCAAATACTGTGTCTTAAAATATTTAAATAATTAGAGCTACCAAAGAAGATGTACTAATGAATAAATGAGAAAATATCTCACATGATTGCAGAATCCATGAATGCAAGGAGTTCCATCAGGAAGAATATCTGCTGGCTGCACTGGGAAACAAGTGGCATTCAGGTTCATTCTGCAGCAACGTTTGCATGCATTTTCAGGCGCTGAAATCAAACATTATGAAATAAGTACAAGCCAATATTAATTAAAGTAGACATTTCATATTACCATTATTACTAGTTTAACAGTTTATAACATTAACTAATTAACATGTTAATAACTTTAATTTAACAGTTATTTACATTAACTGTTGGTAATATTACCAATAATTTTAACAGTTTATTGTAAATTATAAAAGCATATTATATACATTATACTTCAAAGAACTTTAACATTTTATAATATATATTTAGTTTAATTGAAGGGAGGATTGGTTGGGGTATTCAGTCCAAAGACAAAAAAGTAATTAATTATATTTATTTTTATTTTTGTCGAAGTTTCTGCTTTCATCAGGCCTGGTCAGACGAAAGATTCCCACAAGAATTTTGCCGTGTCTTGCGAGAATCTTTTGTCTAACCAGCCCTGATGAAGTCCGGAACTTTGGGCCGAAACATCAGCAAAAATAAAAATAGATATAATTTATTTATTTAAAAATCTTTTATTTGACTGAGCACCCGAAATATCTTCAATTATTCACTACAGTCAACTATCAATGCAAAATTTAGTTATATTGTTTATTTATCACTAATTAATTATTATTATTGTTCAGAATAAATCCTTGTTACGCAGTGACCATTGATTATGTTGTAATGATTACATAGATTCTGTAAATAAAGGCGATTTATTCTAGTATATATGATCAGTGAGCTTAATATGTATTGCGAAATTTGATTTGAATAAGATCTAGTCATAGAATTAAAATAGTAGTAATAGAATTAATAATTTTTTTTATTATACTAGAAGTAAGAAAATAATCAACGTGTTTTAAATATCAAATTTGTATGCACTTATATTATTAACAATAAACAAATGGAATACCATTTGTTTATTGTTAATAATAATTTATTATACAATAATATAAGAGAGGCGAGGGAGAAAATGGACTAAGTAAGAGCGAGAGGAACAGTCCAGGAGGATGAAAGAGTATAAAGAGGGGAAGGAAGGCGGGAGGTGTGAAGAAGAACAAGAAATGATATTCGCATGGTTCTTGCTGGTCAATTCGTGTAAAAAAAAATAATAATAAATAATTTATATATATATAAGAAATGTAATTTTTATTTTTTATTAAAAAAAGAATATTGTAATAAAATCATTTGTTTATTACAAAAATACAAAATGGATGGAATTAAACTTTTAAGTACATATTTCAGAATTTTGATCATAATGAGTTTTCAACATAAAATTGAGTCCGTCAAAATAACACCAACTTTATTATACGTCTAAAATAGTTATACCAAGGGCATAATGTTCTTTTTCCACAGAAAGAAAATTCAATAAAATGCTTAATGATTTAATTTTATAAAATGTAACCTCATTAGTTTTCTCAATAAAGGATGATATGCACTGTTGTAAAGAAAGTGATTCAACTTTCTGGTTTCTCAATGCTGAATTGAATACTGGTTTAGAATTTTTTTTTTTACACTTGAATAAAATACATAATGGGAATTGCGTAGACTGAAATGGCCACTCAACTTAATAAATAAAGAAGTGTACGAGATAATTATTATTATTAGTTCTTAGAATCCCTTAGGTGGGACATAGGGCCGTCTCGAAGGTCTGCCATGCGTCTCAGTCTTTAAACACCTCCTTGACTCCAGACATGGTCTGTCCAGCATTTCCTCCTCCACGTTTCTCTCGGCTGTCCACGTTTTCACTGGTCTTGGGGATTTCAATCTAGACTCTGTTGTGTTATATCGTTATGTTCCTTTCTAAGTGTATGGCCCAGCCATCTCCATTTCCAACTTTTAATGACCTAATCTATCGGGACTTCATTAGTTCATGACCAGTGCTCGGCATTAGAGATTGTTTCAGGGAGCCATATTCGAAATATATTCCGCAGACATAAATCGATGAATGTTAGACGGTAAGGTGTTTCCTAAATTTATTTTTCACATTACTGTTAAGCAAGGATAAATATGTTTCCCTATTTGAAAAAAGAAGATATACATAGAGACGAATAAGTAAAGACATTTTTTAACTATTAGTCTTTCTAGATCAAGTTCCAAGTTACATTCAGTGATCATATATCTAGAAATATTCAATAAATATCCAGTGTAATTTCATCTTACAATGACAATTAAAATATTTGATTGGCAAAATAGGACTTGCTTTGACAAGTCTTAAAGCCAAAATGATAAAAAAGTTAAGATATATTTTTATCAAAATTAAATGGGATTTGGATGAATTATACATACGTGTGTCGCACATACAGCTTTGAAGTCCTTTAGTTTCACAGTAGGGAACACACTTGCCATTTGTACACTTCCCTTTTTCAAGACATTCTGTGCCATCTTTCATGGACGCAGATTTAGGACAGTCAGATGCAGTACCAGAACAGACGGCTTCCTGTTCGCACGTTGAATACTGAGCTTCTCTACACTTTATTCCATATGCCATAAATCTACAGTTTTGGCAGCAGGGAGAATTCTTATCGCTATTAACAAAATAAATGAGTATTTTCAATAATTTAATCCTAATGGACGCTAAATGCTATATTACATTAAGTAAAATGAGATATTAACAAGTTTTAAAACAGTTACCAGTACAAAATTACCTGAAACTAAACTCAAGTTATTTATTGGGCCTATCACCTCTAAATTGGTCAATTATATCAACCTGTTTTACAACCAATAGCCTTTGCAAGCTTCTACATATTTTCTTAGAAATGACAAAAGAAAAATAATAAATAGAAAATAGCTGATAATTTTTTTTTCTTGTTAACTCCTATTTTCTTCATAGGTTATTATGTATAATACCTCAATCATATATGCAACTCCTTAAGTATTGTTTATTTTAAAATATTCAGTTCAATGTAATATAAACAAAAACATAAATTACCTGCATACTGCTCCCTGGTTTCGACGTAATTTGCATACTTTATCACAGCATGCATCATTATCTTCTGTTCCAAGCAAACCAGCATCACATTCTTCATCTCCCTAAGAATATCACTAACTGTATTACATTATTTTTAATTATCAAATATAATTCTTGTGACTAATTGATTAAAAAATATAGATCTGTTTATGTATGCATTAAACGATCAATCACTCATACTATAAACACTATACACATATATACAGTATGTATATGTATATATTATATATAATACATTAATTTATTTTTTTATGTATTTAAATTTTTAAACATATAAAAAATCTATAATATGAGACAGGCAATATTTAACTTTTTTCTTCACTGTATACTGTTTGAGATTTACATTTAACTTTCTTTCTTTTTTTTTTTTTTTTTTTAAGATGATCCCACAAATAATCATTGTAATCAGAAGTTGGGAAAAATCTACTTTAGTTGATTTCAGGATCAAAAATTAAATAACAAATAATAAACCTCTGACTTCTTATTTTTTTTTATTTACACCCTTCCTTGTCTTACGGCAATACGGGTTTTGGTGAGGGTAGTGTAATAAATAATATATCTATCTCACACTACCGTTGCCATTTAGACTTTAGTGCTTCAACTGAAGTTAAAATGAAGTCCACACCTTTAGCAGCTTTGTACATTATGGATTGCCTTCTGCCGCCTCCTCTCTTTGCCTAGGGGCTCCAAGGTTAGATTGTTTCGGTCCCACAGTCGTCTTCCACCCTTACACAAACTCTTCGAAGTAAGGGTAGTTTTCTTTTTTCACGAAGAAGGGGAAATCACCTGCTGTTATAACAAAATCCCGTGTTTGGAAGTTTCCAGAATGTGGAACCTGGGACATAGGGAGTCGACGTCCTTGCCAAAACTGTGCAGTTTGGCCCGAAAGCTCCCATGCCCCGTGAGGACTTGTGAAACCCAGTAGTCGGGGAGCACCCATTTCGCCGTTAATCGCGAGTTTACAGACGGGAAGAATTTTCTTAAGGTCACTTCTTTCAGAGTTGTCAACCATCGTACTTTCCTTATACCTTCCTTAAAGATGATACCCATGATATTTCAATGAGCTCAGAGAAAGAAGTTATGATAGAAAAAAGGAGAAAAATGTATTTTATTTGTATATTAATAATAGAAAACATTAACAATGAGAAGATGTGTCATACAGTATAGTCCTCCTTATCCAGGCTTCTAATAACTAAAAATTTTGTCAAGCGAGCAGTAAATACAAAAATAATTTTAAGAGAAGATTCAAATTAAACCATGTTGACACATGGGTGACCTAAGTAACAGGAAATAAAAAAAAAGCTTTATCTATTTTATGCTGAAACAGTATATCTTCCAGAGATTCCGACAACAACCCATTTACACATTGGTTTGTCCGACTGAAACTTTTTTAAATTCTTAATTTTTACATTACAACATTAATGTAATTTTGGTGTGTTTTGTGGCAATGTAAAATAATTAAATTTTCAGTTTTAACCATAAAGAATTGACACTGGGATAGGTAGATAATTAAAATTTACATATACTATAAAATTTACAAATTATATGCTATGAAGTTGAATAAAACGTTTATTTATGAGAAAAATAAATTAAACGAAATATTTTATAATTTTACAATGAATTTTGTTAAATCTGAAGTTTTGGTGAACTTAACATCAGTGTGTATTCCCATCTAATATGGATTACTGAGATCCTATTCTAATTTTGTTTTTCAAAACTGTATTAGAATAGAATTCAAAATTCATTAATGATTACAAATTCCTGAAGTCTCTCTTAACAGATTATATTCAACTTCTTAATAGAAATAACATACCTCAACACGCAGGTTGCCACAAAAAGATTCTTCAGGCTCTGAAAAGCATCTTCCAGATTTTGCCTGAAGCACTTTCCTGATAGATCTTAAGCTACAAGGAGAAAATCTCTGAAAAAAATTAAAAATTAGATTAGAATGAGATTGAGGATAATCCAAATGTATATGAAGTAAAATATTTAATACTCTATTCATTACTAGATAGATAGATCCATTATTAAAACTAGTAGCCACAATACATCTATTCAAACAATTTAACCTTTATTATTCTGTAAAAAAAGCTCTTATTAGCATCAATCAAATAGATTTTTGAAATATGAGCGTACATGTAATGTAAAATTTAACTAACCGAGGAAGATACACAATGTTTGTTACAAATAGTAATTAATGTCTCAATAAATGTACATGATGACAAACAAATATTAGACCAAACTTTCCTGTTTTAAGAGAAATTAGGAATTGGACTCCTTGACCCCTTCCTCCAAAATAAGAAAGTGAACAAAAAGGTAAAATGCAATAAAAATTTTTTGTAACAATATTAAAAAATATTTATTAATTAATTAATTGTCAAGAAGATTGGATAATAAAAGTTTTAAGTCAAACTAAACTTCAGTACCACCCAAATATTAGATCAATATAAAAAAAAAAATAAATAAATTATTAAATATAAATATGTATATAAATTATTAGCTCTAGTTCGTTTTAATCATCTTTATTTCACTTTTTCTTTCCCTTTTTTTTTTTATTGATTAAAGTATTTATCTATTTTGTGATTATTGTTATAAATCTCTGAGGATCCAAAGTCCATATTTCTTTCTTTAATATTATCCTAAAGGGACTTGTCACAGAATAAATAAAGTATTACTATTATTATTTAAAAAAAAAAATTATGGATTTTCAATATAAAAAACATTGATACCCAACATTAAATCTAAGCAATTAGGAGACGGTGGGAAGAGAGTGAAAGGGAGTTTAGAAAAATGCTTTACTGAATTCTATGAACAAATTATTGGATTGGCGAAAGGTTAATGTTTACAATTAGATCTGAAAAAATCTGGTGCACACATTACACAACTTTCACTATCCGCTCTGCTTCGAACTACAGTAAATAACTTATTAAACTACAGTAAATATATTTCAGGTTATAAACATACACTTTACACATCCATGAAACATTTTTTTTAACAATGTCATTGCCTTTGATTCAATAGATTCTATCCACTTTTTTTCAAACTTAAAAATAATTTTAAAGGTTTACATTTAGTTAATAAATTTCATTACATTTCCTTGAAAACATATGGTTACTGTTAAGTAATATTACTTTTCAGAAATTATCATTTATAATTTATTTGTTACTCTACATTACCTTCTATCACTTTGTATGTTAGATATTGTTTTTTCTAAAATTGTCAGCTTTCCAACGATATATTATATGTATACATTGAGTTTGTTATTTGCAGAAATTCATTTTCCACCTAAAACTTTCTTTTTTTCTCTTTTAATTAATTATCAAATTATTTCTTACTTTATATTTTGCCATTTTTCATTGTTACTGTCAATAAGAGAGTTATTTTAATTAAACCGTTTTTTTTTTTTTAAATAAACCAAATTAAAGGTTCTTTAGAGTAAGAAATATTGGAAATTGGACATTTAAGCCTTGTAAGGCGACATCAATTCAGTCTTATATTACAATAAAACCTTTATTTAAACTAATTTCAGTAGTAGAAAGCAAAAACTTCGTAGCATATAACTAGGGCTAATTGATTGATTCTAATATTGCAATTTGTTAATTGGTGGTTTATATTACATTAGTTTTCCGTTCAGAAACATGTTTTGAGCTGTAAGTTGACACTTTTACACTTTATTTCTAGATACAAATTGAAAAAAACAGCTCTACTTAGAATGTATTGATTATCACATTGTTATGAAATGTAAATTCAATATTTGTCAGCAAATTAGATCATTTACCTTGGTACATGATCTAATTTGCTGACATGAGGAGCATTGTATAAAAAAATATTGTTTGGTTACCTACTTTTTTAAATTACATTATTTCCTTTTTATTTTTGTTTGTTTATTTCTTAAAATATTTTTTACAAAATCATAAGAAATTTCCTTGACTTTCCGACGAGTTAGATGGAAATCCTTAAATTTTCCAGGAACCTCCTGACTTTTCTGTCCCCCCCCCTTTTTTTTTTTTTTTACATATTCTGGACATGAAATAACTCCAATAAAAATATTAATTGGATCAATGGGGGTTTTAAACAAATCTTATCATCACTAAATTATCACAAAAATCTCATTACATAAAAAATAACCGTTTGAAATACAATTGGAAAGTGATATACCTTGTTGTTGACATCATAACCGCTAACACTGTAAGTGTACATGAGATAAGAACCTCCCTGACTTGCTGGCGGAGAGCACTCAGGCATATCTGGATCATGTTCTGAGCCCCAGTTGTGTCCAAACTCATGTGCAGTCACTAGGTCAGCTTCTCTGGTAATAACTCTCTGTCCATAGTGGTTTCGAGAAGAGCTCAGACCAGAATTGAGGTAAAGTGTATATCCATTCTTAAAGTATTCTGTAACAGTTTCATTTATGTAATTATAAACAAACACTGGTTAAGTTGAATAAAAAATTCAAAACTAAAAAAGAAAAAGGAATATATACATTTTTTAATGAAATAATCAAAATTTAGAGTAATATAAACTATTGCATTGATGTATCATCATCATAAGCAACTGGCAACAATAGAAAGAAGAAGAATATATTACATACATGGAAAAAACATTAAATACCTCCACCTAAGAAGCAAGAAGACAAACAAGAAGTGGTTAATATCAACAGAAAATTGGTTAATATTAATTTAGAAATTTAGCATGAATATTTATGAGATTGTTATTTTTGTGTGAATATTTTTATGTATTTATCTATTTAAATAAATAATCTTCAAAAGCAACAATAATGTAGAAGAATTTATTGGTTACAATTTCACTATCACATTACATCTGCGGATTAATAAATTATATCAATGAAAAATAGAAATAAATGACACATCCTTCATTGAGAAAAGGCCTAATGAACGAGTAATTGTTACTTCAAGAGTTAGTGAGATGAGGCTGTTAGAAAAAACATATGTGATACTTCACAACTTTAAAATTTGTTTTGTACCTATTTTAATAAAATGTTTACATTGTCACTACGGATAGCCTGAGTGGGACCCATTATGATCAAATTACTACATCTAGCTAGAATTGATATTTCTTATAAGGGTTATAAGTATTTAGCCACTTAATTTATTATTATAAGCTCATAATACATAATTTAAGATTAACATAAATGAAATTGAAAACCAACACATTATAACAAATAAACAGAAGTTTATTATAAACGTTTAGGAAGATTGATTTTACATTTTAACATGAATATATTTTAAAAAACAAATAATTTGGGGTGAGTTAATTCTATTCTCTTTTGGGACAGTTAAAATTTATTTATATTCAAGACACAACCTGAGGTTTGACACTCCCAGTCTGATTATAACAGGGTGTCAACCTCCAGATAGCGGTCTGAAACAGACACAATGGACTCATTCCGGTAGAGTATGATTATATAAATACACAAATAAATAGGTCATACAAATATACTACATTAATTAATTTGGTGATTTCATAAATATTCTGTGATGATTTTTAATATGTACAATAAAATTATAACTTAAGAATAGATTGTATTTACTACTGTCAATGTTTATTTCTCTTCAGTTTAGATAAAAAGTTGTGACTACCTTCAGGTGTGGGAAAAAAAAGTTAATAAATCACAAAACAGTTTAAAATAATTCAATAATTTATATTAAAAAAAAAAAAATTGTTTTCTATAATGTAAAACAAGTTAAAAATTCTTTGGCTTGCTAAACCATCTTTTAAATAAAATTCTGAATACTTGGAAAACAATTCAGAATTGTCTTTTTTAAACTTAATATAAACAAATATTTAATATTATGATTATAATTAATTATTGCTTGCTACATTAACGATGATCATTAAGAACTCGTATAATTATTTTTAAAAACCTGGGGTGCAGATTCCTCCTACTGAGTTTCTCCTCGGTGAACCAACATATGCAAGTCCGAGAATTCCTCCTTCGAATTTCAGATCTGTGAAGAGATGTGCCAAACAAAAGTCCTTGTGGGAGTACTCTCGGGAGAAAACCTGTTTTGAATTTGACAACATCACTAATAATAAAAAAAAAAAGTCGACATGAATGTAAGTTTCATTGCTTCAAAATTTGCACCCTTCTAATTATCTGCTATCATCATTTGTATAATCGTCTTTAATGACTGAATTTTGAAATAAAAATAAATTTTAAATTACAAACCACAATGATATGTATGTAAAACCGCACAGAATATTATGTTTCACAAAAAAAAAAAAAAAAAAAAAAAGAGAACACATATATTTGAACTATTTTTTTTTTCTGTCGAAAATATAATTAAATGTTAGTTTTTAAATGTTGTTGTAGAATTTTAAAAAGCAAGTTACAGATAAAATTATGTAGGAAACAACATCACTACACCCATGATTAGTTCATTAATTTGTTTTAGGTTGGAAAGACTAAAGTTAATAAGCAGAAAATAGCCAAGCAAATTTCTGTTTACAACACAATACAGAAATTAAGAAAAATAGTCAATAAACAAATTTATTTAAAATGATAATTACAATAAGATTAGTAGCTTGTTAGCATCAGTTTTAAGTTTTATTGAAGATTGAAATTTCCACAGTTCAGTACATGCAATATGAGATGTAAATACAGCACACACATTAATAAGCTAAGATAATCCAAAAAATTCCAACTAATTTTTCATACTTAATTTTAACTCAGTAAAATATATAATGTAATTATAATCCACATAATAATTGAAAAATTTACCTTATCTTAGTTGTTTAATCACTTGTAACTGAGCAGTCTAATCATGTTAAAAAATAAAACTATACGCAATACAATTATTTAAGGAAAAGTAAATAAAAAAAGAGCACATAAAGCAAACTAATTTAGTACCAACATAAAACTTGTTAGTGTGATAAGTAATATGTAACATGCAACAAAATTATAAGTAAAAAATAAATTATAAAAACAGTTGAATAACCATCTGAGCAGATTCCACCTGGAGACCTGGCCCTTGGCGAGGCTATGTAGGCAAGCCCAAGAACTGTTGAAAATCCTGTGTCGGCCGAGCGGAAAGTTTGATGAGTGAACAGGTGTGAGAGACAGTGCTCCTTACCTGACTTATCCCGCGAAAACACCTACAACATCACTTTGTCAACTAATGTCATGCCACTTCCAACACATATGAAAATAAAACAAAATAAATAAAAAAATAAAATAAAGATGTAAAGTTAAATTATAACAACCAAACCAAACGATAAAAAAAAAAACTAATCTCAAAACATTTTAATAATCTTAAATCTAAATATCAAGCAAAAAAAAAAAAAATTTTCTTAGCATTAATAAAATAAAAACTTATGACTGTATCATCTACACACAGAACCACTCAATGTACATTTTTGTAATAAGAGAACTTCAGTAGAAATCTATTTTCAAGTGAATAACTAACTTTAAGGTAGGCAGGTCAACAGAAGATTTGGTTAAGACACTAACAAAAACCAATTAACAATAAATTCAAAATTAAATAATTATAGAAAGTAATAAATACAAATAAAATATTTCCTTGGAAAAGAAAAAAAAAATTTATTAATATTTGAATACATATAGATAAAAGTATACTAGTTTTTTTTTCTTCGCTCAAAATTTATTTATCTATATTTTAATAATGAAATATTCAACAATTTAAGCAAACAGAGGAACACCAGTCACGTGCGTAGATGATACAGCTTTACATATGTAACAATACAATACATGCCCACAATAATATCACAGTGAATAAAAATAATTAAAAAAGTGTGATGAAATTTATGATTTTAATAATCATAAATGCACGTTCAGTGGACAGAAGGAGAAAATCAAAGAATTAAAGTGAAAAACAATAATTATGATTTTAAGGAAAACAACAGGAAGTAAATAAAACTTAAAAAAAGAGGATGAATTTTAATGTTTAGAACTTGCAAAAAACACCTTTGTGTATAGTTTGTGATAAAGACTACAATGAAGCCATCTGCAATATGAAATAAATGAAGTTTCAATATACAAATAATTAAAAAATCATTTGTGAAAAAGGAAATTATAATTGTATTCAAAATAGTTGGTTGCACAATTAGACCATTTATAAGTACATAGCACTAAGTACAAGTAGCCAATAACAAGCTCTAAATAATAAAGATGCAACAAAACACTGAGTAATTTCTTTAAAACTAGATTCACGGGTAGAATTGGGAACTGTTTCTTTTTAAACAATAAAATTAATTAGAATAGACAATCGTACCAATAGTAAAATACAGCATAATTACCAAAAATATTATATTCAAACCTTTATTCTTAATAAATATGAAAGCTCCGTAAATCGAGTTATAAAGAGATGAAGTTACTATACTACTTACAAAAAATAATTAAAAATCACACATTTTGAAAAGCTCTTAGTTTATACAATAAAAACTAAACAATTACAATACCTGTATTTCACCAAGTTAAAGAGATCATAGCTTAAATTTTGAATTTAAAAAAGAAATAAAATAAAGCATATGATACTGTAAAATTAATGATGATTAAACTTACCTCAAGAAGATTTCTAACATCCCATTTATCTCTGATCATATTGTAATGTGCTTCCCCTCCACGAACCCTCGTTGGTTCAGAATGTACAACTATCTTCTTAATGACGAATCCCATTCCTTTAAATCCTTCACTTTCAGCTCTATCCTGCCATGTCGTGTCATTATAGATTTTATGTACACGATCTATCAAACTGATCTATAACATTTAAAAAAATCATGGTTTGGATAGATGCATGAACTGACTCCTTTGGGACAGCCCCTCTTTACTTAGTGGGGCCCAGTTCAAGAAAATATTGGAAAATTATATGCAAGAAAATTATTTTTTTTGCTATTTGTCACTTAAAAAGTATTGGAGTAAATGTAGGATCCTGGTCAAAAATTGAGCTTTTCTGTTGAAGTATACTTAAGTTTATAATGAATTTTTATATTATCTAAATTTGATGCACACAAAGACAAAATAATGTTATTGCTATGCTTAAAATAAACATAAATTGGTGTTTTGACAGCTTAAAATTGATGCTTAAGTTCTAGAGAAAAAGTAAAATATAAATACTTAAAATTAGAATTATATATCCAATCTAATAAATAATAATAATCTGATATAAAATAGCTTAATCTCTCTGGGAAGAAGACGACTTTATTGGCGATGACGAATTGGAAGAACCAATCTGGAGTACGAAGCTAGAGAAATCCGCAGGTAGTGATGATGTAACTCCTGAAATGCTAAAATACGTGGGGCCGAAAGGAAAATAAATCTTGCTGCATCTGCTAAACTTAGTGAGGAAGCAGAAGAAAATACCCAAGGATTGGGAAGTGGCCATCATCGTCCCTATCTTTAAGAAAGGAGATAACAAAGATTGTAACAAACACCAAGGCATATCTCTGTTGAGCGTACCAAGTAAGATTTACTCTAAGATCTTGGAAAAGGGAATAAGAAGAAGAATCAAAGGATTACTTGAAGAACAATATGGATTTCAAGAAAATCGTAGCACCCAGGATCTTATCCTTACCATACGACAAGTTTTCGAAAAAGTATTGGAGAAAGAAAAGGAAATGTCGGTGTGCTTTGTTGATCAAAGGCTCTCGATCGGGTGAGGAAGTCTGATATCTTGGAGGCCTTGAGAGAAAAAGGGATTGATCAAGGTCATGTTCTGGTGGTTGAGAGTCTCTACAACAAAACAAGAAACATAGTAAGATTTGCCAACTGCACTTCACAGGAAATCAAGACAACAATTGGAATCTGGCAAGGTTGTAGTCTTAGTCAACTTTTTTTTATACTAGTGATGGACTCAGCAATACGAAGGGCTAGAGGAAAAATGCGAAAATTTCACCTGGGATATGCCAACCTGAGATCGGTGAGCCTCTCAATACTTGCATTCGCTGATGACGTTGTTATTTTTGGACAGTAACAGGAATCTTCAGTACAATATTAGTAAATTAAAAGAAGAATTGCAGCAGATTAATATGATTATCAACTCTGTAAAAACGAAAGTAATGAGGGTTGGGAAGAAGCCTAGGAGAAATATGTGTGTCATCAGAGTCAAAGACAAAATCCTCGAGCAGGTAGAAAACTTCAAATACTTGGACGCACACCTTAATGAAAATGGATACATCGATTCAGAGTTGACTGAGCGAATCGCTGCTGCGAGCAGGATGTTTAAAGCAGTCAAGAAAGGTTTTCTAAACAGGCGCGAAGTGGAAAAGAAAACAAAAGTAACTGTTTTCAGATCGACATTTCTTCCCATTTTAACATACTCTTCAAAATCATGGACGCTGACAAAGAAACACCAATCAAGGATACAAGCGTCAGAAATGCGATTCCTCCGAAAGATTGAGAGGAAAACGAGAAGAGACAGAGTACGCAACACCACCATCATGTTGAACCTCAATATTAAGCCGGCCAATGATGTGATTGAGGAGAATCGACTGAGATGGCTAGGACATCTTCCGCAGTTGGAACCAAACAGAATTGCTAGCGAAACCTATCAAGCTAAAGTAGACGGCAAGAGAGGAAGAGGACGGCCTAGAAGGAAATGGGAATATGAGGTAAAGAGCTATTTCCATAGAAGAGGTCTACAATGGAATGATAGAAGGCATCTTGTGGAGGACCGGCAGAGCAGGAGAAGGCTCTATAAACTTCCTCCTCACACTGCTTAATGCGGTTCAAGAGGATGGATTATGATGATGATGATAGTCAGTAACAGAATCCTTTTTTTTTAATCATAAATTACAATTCACATACAAGTCATATTACAGTTAACAAATACAAAATTTCAGGAGTATTTAGTTTCATTTCTAGAGGTTTGTCACATGGATACTTTGACTGAATTCCACAGACATTCCTTCACAAATGAAAAAGTAGAGGCTAAAATATGACCACCAATAACATCAAAGCCAATTTAATGTACCATTTGACCAAGCCTTAGAGATAAAAACCTTCAACTTTTAAAGTAAACAAAGTACTATAATAGAAAAAAATAAATATAAACAATAATAATCACTATCTAATAACAATCACTAAAAAAAAACAACAAACAACAGAAAAGATAAACATAAAACAACCAATACAGCAAGGGTCCCCAACACTATTCTCATGGGCAAAACTGTACCTGATTGACCTAACAATGATCATTATAGCATAAGGCAACTGCTTTATGCATTCTTGCTATTACATATGCTTTTTTATAAATGATTTAATTGTTTTAATATCTAACTAGTAATGAATTAATATGTAATAGTAATTTATTGATATGGTAGCATTTTACAATATTTTCCAGTCAATTTTTGGATTTTATTTTATTTTATTCGTTTTTTTAAATGAACAAAATTGAAATTACAAAGTTAGTAAGTGTTTACACATCCATCTGTTATTTCATTGTTTTGAATCATCACATTAAAATAATATTCTCTAAATTATGAAGCAATAGCCAATGAAATGCAATGTAAATATCAAATTATCTTTAGCATTTATTTTTTTTCTATAAAAAAAATAATATTGATTTTATATAATTTGAATAGAATATAAGCTATGCTTTTTTACATATTAAAATTATTATGATTCATTAAAATTAATAAGATCAAACAATGAAAAGTCTAGAAAGAAATAAACAAGTTAATGCCCAACACGTGACTATTAACTTATAAATGTGGCCTCTAGTAGGAAAGGTTGAGAACTCCTGAAATATAGTGTCTACTTTATTTTTTTACCAAGTAATTTATAGTAGTTTTAGTATTGCTACCGCCCATCTCTTGGTAAAATCTATAATCTGCAACAAGAAGTAGGGGGCAACGAGTCTTAGTTGGTGTATATTCATACTCTGCTTGTCTTTTGACTCTGTTTTCTTGGCTGGATGCTACTTTAAAATCTTCAAATTCTTCATCATCACTCTCAGTGTCATTCCAATCTGGAGAAAAAAAAAATACATAATGATATTAACCTTGCCACTGAAGCTTACTATAGCAGAAATTAATCGCTATTATATTTCAACAACTCAACTTTTTTATTTTAATTATTTTAAGGCAACATAAAATACTAATAACATAATTAATAGTAAAAACTAGAGCTTGAAATGAAATAATAACTTTTATTTATAATCAGTTTCCGTTTGATTGGAATCTTTATTTTCAATTTTATTCTAGTTATGAAATATTTCAATAAGTGTATGAAATATTTAATAACTAGAATGCATCTTTTGCTTTAAATTGCATCTTTTTAAGTCAAAGTTTTTCAGAACTTTTATTTTTAAAAGGCTTTTATTTAAAAGTACTCTTGATTTCACTAAAAATCAGATAAAAAATTAATTTTATTCATTCTTTTTTTTATTAGAATCAAGTAATTCAATTTAGGTAACTCTAATTCAAGCCCAATCACTGTTTATTTCTCAAAGTTTCAACTAATCATAAAAATTATTGACAGTATTAAACAAAAAAGAAAGACAATAAATTAAAAGCAAGATAAAAATCTACAAAAATATAAAAAATTGTGATTTCAATAAAACTGTTTAATCATAATTATTACCTATTTCAATTAAGATGTATACTTACGAGGTCCTTCTTTGGCATATGCACATGGACCATTAGAACCATGCCAGCTTAATCTTACATCAGATTCTCTGTAAGCCACCATTGATTCATTACCCAATTCAGGTAAATGTCTCCATGACGGCTATTAAAAACAAAGAATAATAAATATAAATATTTTTATAAAGTTTAATACTTCATTCTGAAAAAAAGAATTGATCTGTAACTTTCAATTTCATTTTTCCCTCTGCTATTCAGTATATGAATCATAATTCCTCAGGATTTTCTCCTAAATCTATGACCGTTGGAAAGCTGAGTTATTACTCTTCAACACCAATCAATAACTTTTAGATTTGACACGTTTAAAAACAATAAGTATAGAAAAATTCCTTAAAGGTTTTTATTTTATCTCTAGTTCTATTATATTTAGGGGGGTCTGGTTTGTGTCATTTCGTGTAGCTTATGTAGTCATAACTTAATATAAATTTTAGTGAGGATACGTGGAGTCATGTTTATGTTACCCCACTTTTTGTGATTTTCAAAAGAAGATTGAAGGGGGAAGGGAGGCTTGGTTCTAATTTGGTGGAAAAAATAATTTTTTTTTTATTTCTATAAAAATTCGTATTTGAGGCTTTATAGTGGTGCGAAATACAAATCTCAACTCTGTTTTCCCTTAAAAACAATATTTAAACCCACTTGCCTCCTTCAGTCAGTACAAATTGTTTCAACGTCGTACTAATACTATAGTTATATGCCAAATATATAGTTATTTTCAAATGAAATGGACTATATTAGAACTCTCCTAATGAATATTAATCAAAAATAAGAAAAAATAAATAATAAAATGAAAAAAAATTTCTAATCGATTTCGATTTTTTTTTTTTTCTTTTGCAGGGAATTTAGTAATCTTTAATATAATCATGGCCATAACCAAGGGAAAAGTGTGTAATTTTTTAGTTATTCGCAAATAAAGTTTGTTTTCTTGCATAACTTGTTTGCCTGAATTTTCGGGGTACTTGGACTATTTTGCCCATCTGAAGAAGAAGGAAGCCTTCAAAATTGATGGCTCAATTTTGAGATTTGGTGAAGAATTAACGATGATATAGCTTGCGGATCAAAAACACCATCGATAAATAATATAAACTCCTCTCCCGATCATAGAGGCCTCAAGTCGACGAAATGAGACATGTATTCAATGATAGTACTACAATTAACATAAGGTTGAGTGGATGCGAATCCTATGCCTTACGTTATTTCGAAAATAGTACGTTTTTGGGCTTCAAAATGCATGATCCGATAGTTCCGGGTCTTGCTGTACACATCAAAATCTTCAAGGTCCAATTTGTCTCATATCGATCTACAGACCTACCACTGTTCCAGTATTGAAGCCCAGCAAAATGTTTGCATCGACTTAATTTATTTTAGAAAGAAAAACAAAAGCGGAGAATACGATTCGCTAACCCCCCGTGAAATTCTGAATCCATCAGTACCCCATTCATGGTATTTCAGCATGACAGGAGCTTATATTTGGTACAAAACCGATTTTGAGCCTCACTAATAATATATGTGGAGATAGTTGACTAAACCATAGTTGAATAATGGAGAAAAACAAGGTATTGATTTTATTATTACAATTAATCAGCTGGAAAACACAAAACTACTCAGTGAACATTTAATAATCATCTCAAACAAGAACACTAACTGAATATTCTGCAATCTTAAATATAAATTTGAGTTAGTTTACATTGATAAAAAAATAGAAAAAAACAAAAAAAGATTAAATGTGATGATAAATACTTTCTCTTTACTTGATAGGATTTATCAAGCATTTACATTCTAATAAATGCATCACAGTACATAAACAAAATGAATAAACTAATTATTTAATATGATAAAACTACATATATGTTGAATTGAACTAGATGCTTTATCACTATTGTAAACTAATACCTCTATATGATATGTTTCATCTGGTAAACTAATGGTAGCTGTCATAACACCATCATCAAGGTGAACACTAGCATGAGACCACTTCTCTCCAAACATTCGACCTTCATAAAAATCTTCATGATCTATAAAATTGATATTAATATTTTAATGTGCAATCTAATCAAAAAATAAATAAATGAAATCTTGATATGGCATAGTACCAATCGCTACTGGCTTTTCTTTGCCATCACCATCAACACTATAAGCTTGAAAATTAGAGTGAAGGACACCTTTCCTGGGAGTTAAGATAAGCCGAAAATCCCTAAGTAAACATGAATCATCAGTGAATCATCACAACATTAAAAAGAATAGAACATATTTTAGATACTAAAAATACTACCTTCCGAGCGTTTTAAAATGCACTTCTTTAATTTTATTAAATGGGTGGGAACTTTCTTTTAGTCCTCGTTTGACAATATGATGCCTTAATTCTGATGAATGAAGAGTATCAAAATATTTCAAATTCTCATAAATTGAACCTAAACACATATTTCACATTATTCAATATAAAAATGTCATCATGTATAATTATTTTGTAGCTAATGACAGCAAATGTATTATAATTAAAAAAACACAAAAAAGAATTAACTTACATGATCCTAAATATACACCAAAAACTAGTATAATACTTAAAACGTTGCCACAAGTCATTTTCCTAGGTGTAACCTAGCAAAGCCCAACCACCCAGCAATTATCAAAAACTCTATGTACTCCCCTAAGTCAGGTTCAAGAGCGATTATCATGGACAGTTGCAACAAGGTTATTAGGAAACCACTTGAATCTTTCAAAACAAATACAAAGAGAAACGAACATTGTAGAACAACCTAAAACATCAGATAACATGAACTTTATCTTAAAATATTAAATGCATTACGTCTAATGTGAAATATTTCATCAAATAATAGTAAAAAATAAGTGGAGTGTTACAATGGATAAGTAAAGTGTATTGTTCAAAATTAGCTTTAACCGAGAAAAGCTGTGGCTGTCTGGCAAAGTGGAAAAGAAAGAAAATAGAAAGCACATATGAGTGGATTAATACCAAAGGACATTCCTCATTTTTAAAAAGTTGAGAAACAAATGTGTCTGTAATATAGCTTCAATTTAAACTAATTATAATGATTTTTTTTATGATTCAACTTGAACATTCTTAATCATCAGAGTGAATACGCCGTCATCAGAAACAGTCTGAGTTGAACTTATAAAACTAAAATTGACTTTATCTCCGCTCTCTGAAAATGACAGATCCGTCTTTGATATGAAGAAACTCATATATTTTCATGTTTAATTTTATTATTATTTTTTTAATATTTAATGTATTGTTTAATGTTCAACTTTTTGTTAATTATTGTATGGAAAATAAAAATATAAATGTTCGTTTGTTCCAACTCTTAAATTCTTCACCCATTGCCTTGAAATTTTGGCTTAACGTTGCATTTAAATAGAGATGTGATTTACTATTATACCTACTATTATAAAATATAAAGGAGAAACTATACATATTTATTAAAAACGCACAATCAGTTAGATGTAAAAGCAACACACGCGGTTCAAAATATTTTACGATACTGTTTCAATGTTAAAGATTTTCAAATATCAAACGTGGCAATGCATTGAAATTGCGCTATATGATTTACCATAACGTTCATCGTGTGCATTAGAGCTGCCTTCCACCTCCCTCAAAAGATTTCTCATACCTCTCCTAAGATATTTGATTGCTTGCTTTTTCTTAATAACAACTTGATTAAACATAGAGTTATAAATATTGTAGTGGAAAGATAAATCTTTCTCATGAACGGTAAACGGCACAATCTTATTCCGATGTAATGTTAAAGAAAATAATTTATTATAAAACAAAATAAACTGAAATCAACGAAAAACTGATTTCTAAAAGGAACTTAAACAGTGATAATTATTAGTCAAGAGTTAAATATTTTTAATTAATAGCAAAGCAAATATTTCAGATGTATCATACCACTTCCAGAATACATTGGGAGAAAAAATAAAAAATCAATATAAAGAGTTTATAATAGTATTGACCTACATAAGGAGAATCATATCACTTCTACAAATGATAATTTCAATTACTGCAGTAATTATAAAATTTTCGATTAATCAATAACAAAAAAAAAAAAAGAAAGAAAAAAGGAAATGGCCTTTGCTGGAGAGAAACTAGTAAGTATTTAAAACTATATAACTACAAGAAATCGTTCGATTTCGATTTTTTAATTTTTATTTTGTAGGGAATTCAGAAAGCTTTCAAATGAATATGGGTATTATCATTCAAAAATTATAGTAGAAAGTATGTTATGCACATAAATTAAAAGGGTTTCAAGGGGAAGACTTTAGCCAAGTTTCGTTAAAATCGTTAAAGCCGTTTAGACGCTACGGTTTATAGCGACACGTTTTTCGGCCGCAATTGCGAAACAAAAGGCGGGATAATAATAAAATGTTCAAAAACACTTCTGAATTCGATTGAAACGCTGTGTCAAAAGAGCACCATTAGGCGGGTGAATGTTAACATATTACTTTTTAGAACCGTTAATCTAGAAACAGAACTTCCTTGTGCAAGTACTGAATCCAAAACTCTTAATAGGTTATATTTATGAAGTTTTTCATTAATTTTTTTATTGTATAACACAGGTAAAATAAATTTATAGTTTGTGAGACCACTAGATATCTTTAATGAAAGAACTTGTTTCATTTCCAAATTCGTTTAATTGCGTGCTGGTATCTACAACCATAAAAATAAAAAAACAATGGAGACAGCTATTCAAAGGTGCCCAGAAGAGATCTCAAGTTGCGCCATCTAAATTTTTGAGGGGAACACATTTCGAAGAGGTTATGAATTTTCAGATTAAAGTTTCAAGCCAGGAAACAAATGGAATACTTGAAAAACCGGAGCAAGTGTAATTGTATATGATCTAAGGTACTTTTACCTCTAACGTTTTTAAGAAGAAGAGAGCAATAAAATAGTTTGGGGAGGGAAAGGGAAGGGGATGGGCATACCTGCAGCTTTCAAACTTTTATAATAGTTTTGAGACCGTAAACTGCTAATTCATCCTTCTTAATTCTGTGATATCTCTAGGAGAGAGAAGTTTCGACGTCTTTTTGGTATAATATCCATTGCTAGCTTCCGATAAATTGCAGTATCTGTGTGTGAATAGCTGTATCTATGAAAGTAATTCGTCTTTCTCCTTCATATCGATCTACAAATTAAAAAAAGTAGGTCGAAGGATTTCTCGAGTTTCGGGGTGAGATATTAGGTATCATACCTTCAGTGCCTGATGTACCAGTCCAGACCGAATTCCAGAAGTCTGAAGGAATAAGAAAGGAGAACCAGATGCCCGTTGATATCTATAGTTGCTAATTTATATATATTTTTAATTCAACAGAGGTAATCAAATTATATAAATTAATCCTTATTGTGTATTACAAATCATTTCTAAATTCAGTAGCTTTGCAATATATCACTAGCGGATCCAGGATTTAATTTTTTTGTTGGGCGTGGCTTCAGCCTGAAAGCTTTTATATATATATATATATATATATATATATATATATATATATATATATATATATATATATATATATATATATATATGTATATAACGATTTCTACTTTGGAAGGCGATCCTGACTATTTTGAAATGCAGTCTAAGTGATAATGGAAGTCCTATTAAATGTAATTACTCGAACAATAATAATTTTAGAAATTATTTTTTTAATAAGAAATGACTACATTTTACTATTTGGGGAGGGGCTTCATCCCGAAAGCCCCCCTCATCAGTAGATCCGCTTATGCAATATATTATACATACTAAAAAATGTGTACAAGAAACGCATTCTTATTGTTTTATCATTTTCTATAAATATGTATAATTAAGAAAATTGAATCATGGAAATACAAAATCGTCCGATTTCTCGGATATGCTCTTTGTCCAACATTTGCTTAAAATTAATGGTATATATATTTGCAATTAAAATGTTACCGACAAATTCCAAAAAAAATTGACTTTCAGTCTAAAATTAATCATTTTAAATTATTGCAGCTATCCTTTTTTTCTTATCAATATATGAATTGGGAGATTTTATTCCATTTTTTTAAATATTCCGAACAATAAAAAGAAAGGTATTTTGATGATGTAAATACCTTTGTTCTACATAGCTAGAATACATGAAATTTGGATAAAATAGAATGTTAAATTTATATTACTTTATTCACTTATTTAAAACCATCACTAATCGTTGCTAAGTAACAAATTAAAGAAATTGATAATGATTTCGCTTTTAAAAAATACGATTAAATGAAACTATCCTTAAGAACTGCATACAAATAAATTATATTCGACCTACAATTATGAGTACAAGGAATACAAAGAGATCATTGCAGAAAACAAAAATTTTTATAAATATTTTTAATTTTGTAATCAACAAAATATATTTCCAAATACATATGTGTCAAGAATATCAAGCATTTCAATCTATTTGAGGTAAAGCTTCATTTAATTTCTTATAAGGTCTCGTCCTATATCACCGAGCATACGAAAAAAAATCACAGTTAGTTCAGATAATTTTTTTGTTTTTAAGACTACATAGTAAACATATTAGGCTTACAAACAAAATTGGAAGTCCTTAAGACCTGAAGTCTCTTCAGTATGATTAACATCAACAACCTCATGTTTAATTTAATACCCTATTATAAATAAAATGGGAATGTCAAGATTTTATAAAGAATAATATTGGCTGATACAGGTGTGAATAAAGCCCATAACGCTCTGTAAACCAATACATCACAAAGTTTTTCTTTTCGTTGAATTAGATTTTTTAAAACCATTAATCGTTTAATGTTGTGTTAGGTATGATAAATCGCTTTAAATTGAAACCTTTACAAACTCGATAGAAGGTGCAAAATTTAGATTTAATTATCTGTAAAGTAAACACTGTGAAAAAGGTTAGCTTTTTTATAAAGTGTTTTAATATGTTTTAAAATGCTGGTCAATTAGTGAAAAGTGATTAGGAAAGGACCTATGTACATATAAAACTAAAATAAGGGAATTAGTTTTAGCAGATCATTAAAAAATGACTGAGACATCCTCTGATGCAGACAAAGTTATTGTAATGGAGTGTACAGAGGTTACAAGTGAAGAAAATTCACTTTCTCAAAATGAACAAGGTATTTGGGAAACTGTGACGGACCGTAAGCGTCATTCTGATGTGGAGAGACACCCCTGGAAACTAAGGACAACCGCCACTGCCGCACCTACATCAACACATAACAGATATCAAATATTGAGCAACAATGAAGATGCTCGACCACAACAAGCTGACCAAAAGGTAATTTTCGACAACCCACCGCCTATTTATGTTAATGGCGTCGAAAATTACCTTGCATTCATAGAACTTCTGCAAAATGTCTGTGGTGCAACATTTAAATTAAAATAGTATACAAGAAACATTTGTTATTTATCCAAACAACCTAGACTCTTGTAGAAAAAAAGTGCACGCTCACAGAAAACATGGTGCTGACTTTCACACATTTCAACTACCTGAGGATAGATGTCCACGAGTAGCAATAAAAAAAATTACATTACTCAACCCCAAAATAAGCTATTATTGAAGAACTAAAGTCTTTTGGTTATGAAGCAATAAATGCAACAAATTTATTATCACGGTACAAACAGCCATTGCCCATGTTTTTTGTGGATATCATAAAACAAACATTCAAATAAATAGTACGTATTACACTCGGGTGACTATTGAAGGACCAAGGAAGAAGAGGATGATACCCCAGTGCGACAGATGCCAACAGTACGGCCATACTAAGACCAACTGTAATCATGCACCCATGTGTGTTAAGTGTGGGCAAAAATATGAAAGCTCTATATGCCTGAAATCTAGAGATACACCTACTAAGTGTGCCAACTGCCAAGGAGCACATCCAGCAAACTATAGAGGATGCCCTATCTTGAAAGAACTCAGAAAACTGAAAACTTTGATACTTACTGCCAATGCCCCTCCCCCCTCTCAAACTATGCCCCAATGGGTCTACAAGACATCTCAGTACTGCCACAATATCTGCAACAACCCCAGCCTTCTCAAAAAGGACCAGCTACTGGACCACAGCAGCATGGGCCTAGGCACTCCGCAACCACTAAAAAAGGAGACATAAAAAAAATGTTAGCATGTCAGGTATGAGGCAGGGCATTGCTCAACCGATATTTCCTGCTGCAAATGTTTCTTTCAACTTTACCAATTATTAAATGGTTTAAATAATACCATACAGCTCTTTTCAGTCTACTTCAACAACTCTCACAAGTAACACAAGCCTACTATCCTATTTACGGCCCATAAAAGCTTAACTATGGGTTCTCTATTTATTCTTCTTTGGAATACAAATGGACTTCTCAAAAATAAAACCGAACTTGACATATACTTACATGAAAAACGAACTTTTTTTTTCTTTTTTTGTCTGTTCTTCCCTACCTCGGCTCTTAGGCTATACGGGATTTTTCCGGGCCGGGGGATGAGGGCGGGAAATTTAAATACACACACTTTAGCCCATTCGACCACCCCGCCCCCCCATGAAAAACGAACTGACATTGCTTTGATAACTGAAAAACACCTCACTTCTGGAAATAAAGTAAATATTCCAGATTACACAATTTACAGGACAGATCTCCCAGATGTTCATATGGCGGAACTGCCATCATTGCCAAAACATCATCCTATACAAGCTACTGCTATAACACTGCGCACAACATTGCACTCCATAACATTTGTAGCAGTATACTGTCTCCCTTGTTACTCGCTGACACCCGACATGTTTTATACTTTCTTTGAAAAACTAGGAAGGTGTTTCATTGCTGGTGGCGATTAAAATGCCAAGCACCAGCTATGGGGGTCGCAATTATACTATGATACTTTTTATAAATAACCTCAGCACTGATGATGGAAGCTTATGGAGACAAACTAAAAAGCTAATAAAGCATCGCGAGGTGAAAGAGGATGGATCTTGGGTCATATCTGACAATGAAAAGGCTGAACTCTTTGCTGACTACCTATCAACTGTCTTTACACCACATACAGACTACCCAGACAATGGACATATAAATTATATACAAGATTCTCTTGAAATATCCTTACCACTAACATTGCCTCCTCCGGCTTTCACTCCATCCGAAATACTACAAGTGATTCGTAAGTTACTCCCAAAAAAAATCCCAGGGTGTGATCTGATCACTGCTAAGCTATAACAACATATGCCCAGAAAAGCAATAGTATATCTAACAATTCTATTCAACGCCATATTGAAAACAACAAAATTCTCATTTGCAATGGAAGTTTTCACAAATACTAATGATACAAAAGCCGAACCAAAATCCCAATAGCTCTTCCTCCTAGAGACCTATAAATCTACTTCTGATTTGCTATAAAATTTTTGAAAAATTATTTTACAGACGCATAATCAACATATTAACAGAGAACCAAAGTCTACCTGAACACCAACTCGGATTCCGTTCACTACATTCAACTATACACCAACTTCACAGAGTCATGAACTTCATTTTAATTCCACTAGAAGAAAGATCATACTCTGCTGGCATATTTCTGGATGTTGCTCAAGCATTCGACAGAGTCTGGCACGATGCACAGCTTTACAAACTTAAATCATTTCTTCCTTCTACCTATTACCTCATTCTTCTCTACTTCCTTTCAAACAATTTTTTCTCTGCCCGACAGGGATTGGAAAACTTTTCCATATATCCAGTAAGGGCCGGAGTACCGCAGGGGTCGATTCTTGCACCTTTACTGTACATTATATACACAAGTGATATACCAACTTACCCTAACACATTAATTGCAACCTATACAGATGACACTGCTATTCTCATCAGACATGTTAACATCACACAAGCATCGATGACCCTATAACATTATTTACAAATATTACAGAAATGGTTTGAACAATGGAAAATTAAACATAACAGTGATAAATCTCAGCGTATCATCTTCACGCTTCGACATGACACCTGTACTGTAGTTTATTTAAACAACGTCCCCATACAACAGACTGACACATTTCATTACTTAGGACCACTAACGGATCCAGCAGGGGGCGCTTAGCACTCACGTTGACCACATTAAGGATCCAGGATGACCTGGGGACCACACATTAAAAAAAAAGTCCTTCCTTAAATAATCGACTAAGGATTTTATATTCTCTGTTACACAACCGTTCTAATTTAAAAATGAGATAAAAACTAAAGATTGACACTTACTTACTAAAACCTATATGGACCTATGCATTGCAAATCTACGGAATAGCAAAAAAGACCCAAATTAAACAAATGCAGACTTTCCAATCAAAATCTTTAAGACTCATCACGCGCTCACCCTGGTACGTCAGTAACAAAACTCATTACATTACATACAGACTTAAACATACCGATGGAACAAGATCATCATATAAAAATTCCATGCCAAACTTTACTAACATACCAACATACTTATAAAAAACATGGCCACGAGACATATTCCAGAAAACAACTGACGAAGGCTGAAAAGGAGCTAGCTAAGGAATCTCTTGGATTAACCTTTTCTTTAATTTCAAGTTTGGAGTAGGTGCCGATGGGTAACGACCATGCCTCATGCCAATAAAGATCACATCCGCTTATTGTTACAGGCTGTTGGAGGTGTGGATTAAATAATAAATGTAATAAAAAAATGATCTGTAAATATTGAACTATCAAATAAATTATTTTTAGTTCCATCTGAAACTTTAGTGTTTGTTAGGTGTGTAAAAATCATCAATATAATATAATTTTGGATGTATGTGTCATATTTGGCTTCATTGTTTGAAATTCTATTTTTTTTAGGTTTCTATCGTATCGGTGTAAATCATTGAATTGATTCCGGTCATATTTAAATTTTCAATTATATATAGAACCGATGATAAAGCGTTAATTTAAAAAAAATGTGTTAATAATGAAAAAAAAAAAACAATGTAAATCATACATTCATGATCAATATCAAATTTAAGAAAAGTTCTTGTCATGATTTTGAAATAACCTCTTTGTTCAATCAGCTGTAATCAGCAGTCTACAGTTGACAGTGATTTTGTGGTTACGAACTGTGTTTGACTCTGCCAGGATCGTATTACAAGTTTTAGTGGATTATGGAAAGTCTGAACTTTGTATCCAGCTAGTTTAAATTATTGCTGTTTTCAATAAATCTAACTGTTTTTTATTTAATTCTTTAATTTTTATTAAAATTCATAATGTTTGGGTTTAGTATGTTTCCATTTCCTCCTAGGCCTTTTAAGGTCCAGTATTATTGTTTTTCTGTTGCAATGATACCAGGGAATGAAAGGGATGATGTTGAACGTGGGGGTAAAATTATTATGCCTCCTTCAGCACTGGATCACTTGACTAGATTAAACATTAATTATCCTATGCTTTTTAAGTTGCATAACGCGAAAACGAATAGATCTTCTCACAGTGGTGTATTAGAATTTGTTGCAGACGAGGGAAAAGTCTATTTACCCCACTGGATGATGAGGAATTTAATGCTTGAAGAAGGTGATGTTATTGAGATAGAAAGTGTCTCCCTGCCTGTTGCAACTTTTTCGAGGTTTCAGCCTCAGGCTCCAGATTTTTTGGATATTTCGAATCCTAAAGCAGTCTTGGAAAACTGTCTCAGAAACTTTGCTTGTTTAACTACTGGTGACATTATTAATATTAAGTATAACCAAAAAGATTATGAGCTTTCTGTTTTAGAAACACAACCAGGGGCAGCAGTAACAATTATTGAATGTGATATGAATGTTGAATTTGCTGCTCCTTTAGGATATAAAGAGCCTAATTCTGAACAGGAGTCATTGGATGAGTCATCTGAAAGAACAGAAAACTTATCTAATGAGGGAAGTGGATTCACCCCATTCTTTGGTGAAGGCTATAGGCTTGATGGAAAACAGAAGAAAGCGATTGAAGATGAAAATATGAAATTTAAAATCCCGACTGTGAGAGGAATTCCTGATTATGACTGGAAAGTAGGTGTGATTACCTTCATGAGAAATGTGCGTCAACCTGTTAAAGAAGCTCAGAAAGATGATGAAGATAAATTTCAACCCTTTTATGGGCAAGGGCATGTGCTAAGTACGAATCGTCACAGGAAATAATTTGTAGGACTGTAAACAGACTTAAGAGAATCTGCATTCAATATTTTGTTAATACTTTGATAAGTTAATTTAAATTGAAAAAAAAATGTTACAATAGTATTAATTTATGATATTTTGCTGTTTCTATCTTTATAGGTATTATAATAATGTTACTATAAGGATTTTATATGATTAACGATTTTTTCATGTTTTTTTTTGCTGAATAAATTTGGATAAACAATATAAGGTAATTTCTTTAAAATGACACAAACTCTTTTACATATCAAATATATTACAAGTGCTCAAATTAATGATTTCACAAGGGAAAAGTTCATCAAAGTTCTTAGTGATTTAAGCTTATGAAATGTCTCTCAATGACGTCTTACAATACATTAATGATATACCTACTGATTGTTTGTTGGATTACATTCTTTATCTCTGAAATTGTATAAGCCGAATTCATATTTTCAATTAAATTTATATTTTAATTTTTCCTTTGGTAGATATTAAAATTTTGATAAGCATTAATCAACCTCAACTTTTAAAACAGATTATATGTCTTTATCATTGTTTTTTGTTGCTAAAAATAATTCTTGATGTTAAAATATAAATTTTAATATCTAATTAATGATAATATTACATAATATATATATTAATTAGTGTACAGGATTCCAATTTATAATTGTATATATATGCAATTAAGTCATTAAATTTTGTTTTTATAACTTTAAATTTGAGAAAATTGAATGCTGCTTTATATTTCTACACTTTAATAATTTTATATTACAGCCTTATATGATACATTTTATCTCTTTGAATAATGTAGTCAATATCACTATAATTAAAAATAATTATTTAGGCATCAACCATTTAAAACACTTTTCAGTTTGCTCCTATTTAAATATTAAATAAATATTGTGATTAAGGCAGATTACGCAATGACAATTTTTAAATTTAAGGAACTATATGTTAAAAGTTAGTGTTCAAGTACTGTAATTTATTTCAAACATAACATACATAGTTGCATAGAATTTAATAACTGTTTATTAAAATACTTCTTTAACAATGCTTGTACTAAAACCTGTTTATTCATATGTTCTTAAGCTACTCAACACACACACACACTTAAACACCATTTCATATAGGTAGTTAATTACTTAATTTTTTTTTCAAATTAGTTATCGGTATTACAGATTTCCCATAATCTAACGTGATTTGAGCAGAAACCTCTCAAGCACTTAATTTGGGATTTTTTGCCACTTTAAGCACAATTTCATGAGATTTTTGCACTGTCAATAAGAGTTTTCTCTCTGGGCGGGATTTATTGTTCACTGATTTGAATTTAAATTTTTTTATAATGTATTTCACTGTCGTATGAGGTAGTCTGAACTTTTTTCCAATATACCGCAAACTTATATCCTGTTGAAAAGGTTTTACATCATCCTTATGATTAGAACTCAATTATTTGGACCTATGACACATTACTGAAGAAATATTTTTAATACTGAACTAAACAAGCTATCTCTCCTGTAGTTTTATCCTTTAATCTTCTGGAGCAATGGGTTATAAATAGAACGTTAAAACACTGTTTTAATGATATAAATTATCGTATCATTAACATTTGCTCTAGTGTATGAATACTTTTTTGTGTACAAATTATTGAAATATTAATTTTATAAAAATTGTATGAGATTTTAAATGTTGGCATTATATAGAATTAACACAAAATAAAGTTTGTAATTAATGTCTGCCGTTGTTTCAAGTTAAACAAATTATAGTGAACAATTTTGGCAAAAAAATGGGATGTACAAATACTTTTTCTGCCCACTGTATATAGAGAATAACATTGGTGAGAGTATTGCTCCTTGTGGCACACTTCAAGATAGTGAAAAGAAATATTTTCTAAAATCAACACAGAGAGATTTCTTTTCATCAGGAAGGAGGTGATGATGTCATATAGCTGTTCTGGTTATTCATAATCAATGAGATTACAACATTAACATATCAAGAGACATGGAGGCAATGGCATTTAAACAATCTATAGAGGTTGTAGCCGTTGCCGAGTTATGGTTGAAGTTGGTATTTAGCTCAGCATTGTAGCATCATGAAATAATATTTTGCAGGTCTGATGAGAGGAGGAGGCAGTCAGGGCTAGAGCTCTAGGGTTTGGGGTTGAACCGGTTTTATTTTTTACCTTCAAAATTTTTTGAAAGCAATGTTATATATATTATACAATGACTACTTAATATCTTTACGTAATATGTGTTGTGCATACATTATATAGGAAAAAATTGGGTTTCAGTAGTGAACTTGGTATTTGATGGGGGTATCTTATAAAATTTATCTAAGGGGCTCTTGTTTTCCTTTCACGGCTTTGGTATTTTGTGCAGAACTTAGATTGAAAATCTGATTGCTCTTAATGAATTAGGTATCCCCAATATATATTTAAAGTAAATAATTTAAGTAGTGGATTTGTTGTATGGGACTGGAAATATAAAGCATAATATTAATATGAAATAATGAAATAAAAATTGCATCTGCATACATAAGATAAGTATAAGAGACAATATATTAAATATTACAGGTAACTATAAATTTATAAAGCAGAAATGTAAAACTTCGACATTTCTACAGGTGCAGTTAATGTTATACAGTACCAGTCCTCCAGAAAGAGCCTGAGTATGATGTGTTTGTCAACTTTTTTTTTCTAAGCTTTATTCATAACTTATGCACTTCTATTTTCCAAATAGTTCATTTACCTAATTGATATTTAATAACTATTTTAACTTTTAGGTTAAAATAAGTTAACTTTTTAACGCCTATTTTTAATTTTGAAAATTTAGATTTTATTTAAAAGTGTTCAAGTTTTACTTTTACAGTTGTTATTGAATATTGAATAAAAAAGGGATGCCTCCAAAAGCTAAATCAAAGAAACCAAAGAAGGTGGATCCTTCAGATAAGGATGTAAAATTAAAAGAAACTCCAACAATTAAAACAGAATCTTCAGAATTCGATAGAAAATCAGACAGTGATGACGATACCATAAACAGAACTGAACTTTATTGCACTGATCCATATGATTATGTAATACTTTTGAAATGTGAAGAAGTAACAGCCATAGTCCAAGTAATTTTCTAACATAATTCAAAGTTATTTTATTTTATTTGAATATTAATACACTGACTACAAATAAACCATTTTTAACCTGTCTCTCTTAGAATAAATTGACCCCATAAGAACAAATTAAAAATATTTTGATAAGTATGATTAACACACTTATGTTACTTGGGTTGAAAAACAAAACAAAAAATGAAACATTATTTATAAATATAAAACTTTATTAGTTTTCTGGAATCTTGAACTTTGTGTTTCTTTCTGGGGTGGGATTGATGAATCAGATTTGTGAAGCATATTTGTAGGAAATATTTTAGCCTCCAATCAGAACAAGCCACACTTGTGTCATATCGCAGGCTCTTGCCCATCCAATAAATTAACACACCTGGCAGTTCACCAAGTTAAATTCTAGTAAATCACAAGATGAGGAATTGGCTGGTTGATGTATCTTATTTAATAAGTTCTGTTTATCAAAGTTTTGAATTGACGATCTGCCATCCCACTAATCTAATGGTTCCTGTAATTTAAAGATTCCTTTGGTTTTGTCATTCTTCTAGCAGATGAACATAGAGGTTCTTCCTTGCTTGTTTCATTAACCATTTTAATTACTGTGTTATGATGAAACTGAAATGAGAATGCTGTCCTCATTTTTTCTATCTCGTCTTTTTTCATTTGTATGATTATTTATAAATCTAAGAAATGAATAGACACTTTTTAGCTTTCATGTTTTTATAACATTCCAAAATTAATATGAATAAATTAACTTTAATAATAACAATCAGGCTACAATCAATGAAAAATAAATTAAAGGAAAATAAATTTATATTTCTTTGGTTTGATGTTCCTTTAGACTATTTTTTAGGACAATTTTACTTTACCCAAATAGTTTAGGAATAATCATTTAACACAACATATTTTCTTATTAAAAATAAAAATATTAATGTTTTTCTTCATACAATTATAAATTTAAAATATTTCCCTTTGGACAAGAATAAATTTCATAATTGAACTAAAGGAGTTAAAAAGTACAAGGTAGATGAAGGGAATGCATTTAGAGACCAACAGTGGTCAGAGAAAAGTTACTTAAACTCTTAAAAGTATTGCGAATTGAGGGTGTCCTTGAAGATTAGAAAAAAAAAGTATTCTAATTTATAGTTATAAATTTATAGGAGGAAGTGAGGAGGGGTAGAGGGAGGGTAAACTCAAACTCTGAGAGTTTGGAAGTTAACTCAAATTTAAAGCTCTCAAAAGTATGGTTCAAAAATTCATAACCCAATAGGAATGAGTCACCTCAAAAATGGTAATTTGTGCCATGTCTACTTTTGGGGCACCACTGGATCCAGTTGCATTATACAAAGCCATAGGCAAAAGATTATAGGTGAAGCCTCCTCCTCTGGAAACTGGAAAAAAAATCCACTAAGCAGCTATTTAAAGAAAAGGGAAATATAGGGAAAATTCATCCTCATAGACAATGAATATCCTAATGTAATATAAAAAAAATTATTATTGTGACCAGCACTAGCGAATTCTGCCAGGGGACCTGTCCTCCCTTAGATGGTTTAAAAAATTCTGAAAAAAGTGGCAAAAACACCTATTTAAAGAAACCTTGAAATAGAATGGAGAGTAACCTCAAGCAACTATAGTCTCCTTGAAGAATACATGTGATTCTTTATACTGCTCACGATAATAATTTGTATATTTCTCATTAGGAAGTGTTGTTCTTTTCTTAAAATTGCTGCTGTTGGAAACGTTTTCATGAGGCAAGAACTAATTATCAATTTGATCGGAATCAGAAATTATTTTGGGTTTTTATTCTTAGAGAACTCATTTCCAAGCTGCAGGGCTATTTATTGTAATCTTTCTCAGATTTTGACAAATAAAATGTCAGCAATTCAGTTTTGTACATGTCTAAAGCCATATCTAGGGTGTCTCGTAAGTAGAAGGAAATATTTAAAGGAGTGATAGCCTAACTCAATAAATACAAAAAAGTTTATATAAACAATGGTTCGATTTTCAGCATAAAAGTAGGGAATTAAAGCTTTGTGATTTTTCATGTAAGCCACGTTTTTTGTTGAATAAGAAGTGGTAACAAAAAGCTATTTAATTTAAGTAATTAACGATTGCTTCACTGTAAACTAGACAAAATTTACTTAAAATAAAAATAGAGTTTGCTTTTGTTAAAACCATTTAAAGAGGACTTTTAAGCGACTAAACTCGGCTTAGGAGTGGGGGAAGATGGGTAGTGGTGGGGAAACAGATAGGGGTGGGGGAAGCAGCTGGTACAGAGGTGTGCCCTCCCTCCCCCCTGAGAAAATTCATGGATCCGCCACTGGTTATTAGTGAGATGGAATTCAGAAGAATGAAAGGAAAAGTATATTTGCAGCCATAATTATAAATTTGATAACTAGAATGTTTAATGCATTTAGGAAAATTCTTTATGTAAATGAAAAAAAAAAAGAGTCAAAGAAAATCTCAGACCCCAGAGTACACCACAGAAACAGAAAAGGATTTTGAAGGAGAGTAATGAGGATTTATTATGAATTGTGCATGATTGGATAAATTTGATCGATAACACTGTTTGAAGGAAAAAGGACTTGGAGCTTTGGGAGAAAAATATTGTGAACAGCTGTATCTATAAGCATTAGGATTTTATGGAATGTGTATTTCTGGAGACATGTTTGATAAAATTTAAAAATAACTTTATAGAATCAACTTCAACTGTCAAAAATAATGAGTTTAGGTTTAGGTTTATATGAATTTTATATATTTATATGACATTTATATATTATGACATTTATTACTAGTATTGCAGTTGTTACGCACCTCCATCTTAGTTTGTTTTGTGGGTGTTATGTCTGGATCTCTATGATGGTATATCATCCAAGGTTGTGAGGACACAGGCTTAGAGACAAAACCTCATTTTAAGAAAAGAACTTTTTTCTTTAATAGGCTCTATTCGAGTCTAGCAATGCTGCTGAATCTGTCCTGGGCAGATTGAAATTAATTTTTTGGAGTACCCACAAAATGAATCTTGACCTTCCCATTCTGGTTAAAATAGGATTAGTTGTACCTCTAGAACCTCCTCCTCTCCTCATATGCTGAAATGATGAGATAAGGAGTAATCGAAAAAAAAAAAAAAAAGGCTTTATTTTGGATATATTTGTGACCAATAATGAATCTTTCTTTTGATAGGATTTCTAGATAGTTTTCCATGAATAATTTTCAATTCATTATTTCAAGAGATCTCATTAAATTGTTGGTATATTCAAAAAAATACTTTAACATGCAGACATGAATAAGTTCTGAAATTACCCCAAATCTCTAAAATTTTCAATTTAGACAACAAAATAAATTTAAATTAAATTGAATTTGATCAATGAGTCACATGTTTACCCTTTCATGACGATATAAATAAATTGATTTTTCCCGACAAGTGTACTGTGAATTGTGGTATATGTAATAAATACACTGGATGCGTGCGTACTAAGGTCTTAAAAATATGGATATTACAACACAGTGACTATGGACGTAACATTTATGTGACTCTTTAAATATTTATGAAAATACACATACCAGAAAACACAGTTTATGATGTTGCTAATCACATTTTTCTTCTAAGGCGTGTGACTTGCTCTATGAGCATATCATCAAGAATCCTGAGTTTGGTGAGGAAATTATAGGTCTAGGTGCAGTGGAGGATGTTCTCAATAGTCCCAACTACAGTCACCCTTATTATAATGGGGCGAGGTACCGTTTCTTGAGCAAGCTATATGAGATGTATCCTGAGGCCAGGTCAAAGTTAAACAAAAGGCATGACTTCCTAAGGATGGCAATGAAAAATGCAGCTGAGGTAAATAGAATTGGCTCTAAACAAATAGGATTAATCAACTAATAACAATGAGTAATGTGGTGGGTTTTAGACACAAGATGTGCCCTTGAAAGCCTATTCCTTGTTATATTGCTCAAAGCTTACTGAAAATCATCAAGCCATGGTTTATGAATTCAACGAGCTTTATGGTGTTGAGTTATTTTTTTGTGACTATCTGCCTTGCTCTGACATCGATGTAAAATGCAATGCTCTTGGGGTGAGTTGCTTGGAATTTTTTTAAGATGATATGTGAAGAACATTTAATTACTTAGTATAATAGTAATAATAATAATTTACTTCTATGGTATAGAGTTTTATAATAATAATGTACTTCTATGGTATAGAGTTTTTTTCTGATGAAACATTTTATGAACACGTATCATAATAAAAGCAAAGCATATACCAAAGATGCCAATAGCGAAATAATTAGTAGCAAAACTATTTTCCATAGCTAATGAAGAATCTATTGGATTACGAAAAAACGACTCTTGCCTTGATCCAGGCACACTCTTTTAGCTTTGTGGAACTGGTGGACCAGTGTGGCTGTCCATATCCTGAGATTCAAAACAGAGCCCTTGATGTCATAATTAAATTGATGAGTTATAAGGAGAAGAAAGAGAATGTCCAAGGAATGTTTATACGTGCAGGAGGAATAGAAATACTTTTTCAATTACTTAATGTGAGTAACATGGGATTATTAATATTAGTTACATTATGTCCCAGAGGTATCCATTGGAGAAGAATGTTCTATGGCCCCGTCTCGAAAATTATTTTTTTCTCCCTTCTTAAAAACGATAGTATGGAATATACATAAAAAATGTGTGAATAATTTGTATCTTTTTAAAAGTATTTGTTTTATTTTTTTAAATAAAAATTTAATATAATTTTTACTTCATTAAATATTTTCAAGAAGTTCATAATTCTCCTATAAGATAACAATACTACAACAGATTTTTTGGGCCTAAATGCTTCACAAACATAGACCTTATGACTTACAAACAAAATCCTCTATCACCAAATCTCTTTCAGGACAAAAAGATGGTAAGTACATTAAAATAGTTTAAGTATAGTCCTAATGTATCTAACGTTTTTCTCATCAAAATTAGAGGCTTTTTCCACCATTGTAAAAACTGTTATAAATTATATACCAACTTTCTTAAAAATCTGTCAGTGTCATCAAATTCAATTTTTCAGAACTGTCATACGTTACTTATCAGCTTTATTCACTTTATCTTTCAGTTGTTACTGTTGATAGGTATTTCAATGGAAGGATGTCCATGCCAAAGTGCATCAGGCTTTAAGAATCTTACTTGATAATCCTGACCACTTCCAAATATTTGAAGATTTGAATGGTATTGAGAGGCTGTCAAATTATGTCAATTTTATTATGGACGACGATTTGATAGCAGAGGATTTAAGCACACTTTTAACTATTGCACATAAATTTGAAGGAAGAATGGTATGTTGAAACTTAGATGAAGTTAATTTCTATAAAAAATAATATTTAGAGTTATTACACCAATTCAATTACTTCCTATCCATCCATTTCCCAAAAAACTGTAAATAGATGTTTCTGTAAATATGTCTAGTTTTTTTTTCATTATCATTATTTCATGTTTCTTTCCAATTTTTTTAATTTATTAATATTTTTCTTTTTGATAAATTTTAGGAGATTTAAAAAGATTTTTGGGCTGTTTCCCCAATTTCGAAACTTTCTTAATATCAGAGTTTAATATTTCATTAATATGTTTTATTGCATATATTTCTGTTTATGCAAACTTGTAAAATCAAGAATTTAATTTTAGAAAATTGAGTAAATGGAATTTATAACCCTGAAATATCAACTAATAAATATATCATAATATTTAATAGAAGATCTTATTTTGCTATCGACAAAGAATACATTTATTAACGTTAGAAGTTAATTAATTGATTAATTAATTAATGAGTTCTATTAATTTATTTTATTATTCTTTTTTATTTCCATCAGAGGTTCAAAAGCTCACAATTCTTTTACTTTGTTATATTTGAAAGAGACTTTTTTTGAAATAAATAATCGATATTATTATTAGGTTGATCATACAAAGTTCTAGATTGAAAAAAATACTATTTGGTATAATTGACATTGGATGTAAGAAAGGAATCTTTTTAGGAGGCCAAAGAAAACAAAATAAGTGATCAGAGATATTAGTATGTTCAATTATATATCTAATTTATATTTTCATTCAAAGTTTTTTGTTCATTCAATTATGAAGCATACATATTGAATAAAGACTACTGATTCACTATACAAAACCAGTATCTTTTTTTACTTTATTATTTATCAAAATATAATATGTGATCCATATATTGCGTGATTATTTACAATATTATAATTAACTGATATTTATGATGCGTTCATTAGCATAAAATTTACAACTTTTTTTTGTAAATTTCATCAGATTCTTTTAAGGAACAACACAATAGACACATTTGTTGATGTTTTAAACGATGGTTCTCAAGAGTCCAAAATGCATGCATGTGAAGGAATTCGCTTGCTGGCAAATGAGACATTAGGGGTCATTTATTTGGGTCAAAGGGATCCTTCCAAAACATTGACTGTGAGTACAAACATTAATTAATAATAAAAAGTACTACATTACAAGAATTGCTTCCCCTGTATGCCAGAAACGGTGAGGTAGAGGTGTTGATTAAAAAAAAAAAAAAAAAAAAATATTGTTGCACCGTTTTTGTGGGTGTGCACAAGGTCTCATCATCAATTGAATTCTGATTTCTGGTATGGAATATTAAATAAGTACCACATAAAACTATAAGTTTGTTATAACATGATTTTTGGAATAAAAATAAAAAATAAATAATATTGGACAGGAAGACTCTATTCACAAATTAATATAAATCATGGTATGCGGATAATTGACTGTAATTGTATTTTAAGAAGAAATTGTTCAGGGGTGTGGTCAATAGACATATTAGATATTTATGTATTTTATTGACCACACCCCTGACCAACTTCTTAAATTAATATAAATCAAATAATAAATATTTCTAAACTATGTAACTATTATCATAAATTGAGTATTATAGTTCTAGTATGTGAAGAAATAGCCTTAATCGAAGCTATTTTTGAAACTAAATATCCTATTTCTTGTAAATGCTGCTAAATCAGAAAAAAGCTCTACCTTATGTGGATAGGCTTTTCTTATTTAAATTTCCATTTTTTTTTTTCAATATTGCATCCAAATGAAGCTTTCAAAGATGTATATCAATTTAAGGCAATAGCTCATTAAATAAAACTAAAAACTAAAATAAACCTACCTGTAGCCTATATTATTTCCATGAAAGTGTGAATATTAGGATCAGGAAAATTTAGTTTGTCACCTATAATAAATAAGGATCAAAATGCTTTAATAGAAGGCAGTGAAGAAAATTGCTTGATGACTTAAACTTTGTCTAGTTTATAGTGATATAATTATTAATTGCCAAAATTAAATATTTTTTTCTTAATAGTTACATATTCAACGAACAACGTGACACTTAAAATAAAACAAACACAAAACATAAATTTCCTATGTTTATGGGGAAAATCGCACCATTGTACATATAATTTTTTTTACCTCTTGAAGTATAATATCATCTCTTTAAATATTTATTTGTCGTTACTCATAACACCCTGTATATATAAATTTGCTTTTATATATATATATATATCAATCATGTCTATATATCAATCATGTATATATCATGTCTATATATATATATATATATATATATATATATATATATATATATATATATATATATATATATATATATATATATGGAAGTTTTCATTAATTAATAATATTATTCTTTTTTAATAGTCTTTGATGCTGGATGATGATAATTCACCAGAACTGAGATGTAGTTGTGCTTGCACTTTAGACGTGCTGGCTAAATCTTCTCCAGTAGCAAAGTTGCAGCTGAGCAAGAAAAGTAATTTCGTGAGTAGATTTGATTTGGTGTAATAAAGATAATTATTATAATTTAAAATATTATAATTTAAAATCATATCTACGGTCTCTGGCCATAACTAGTTAAGTCGAAAAATGGTTCTCAAAAGTTCTGTATGTTGAGATCATCTTCCAAGTGTTCTAAGCACTGCGAAGAAGTTGGTAAATCACAGTACTAAGAGTTTTAGAGGTCCAGATGTGAATTGTGAATTTACTAACTCCTTCATGGTGAGAGGGCTTGGAAGATGATCTCAATTCACACACCTCATGAGGACCATTTTTTAATTTAACTAGTTATGAGCCAGGGCCATAGTTATTAACAGACATGTAGAACACCTGTCACATTTCATGAACATTTTACATTTTGCAATATATTGATCAAGTGACAGAATATGTAGTAAACTTCAAAACGGAAGTTAGCTTTGCAATTAAATACCAAATTAATGTATATTTAGGTTTATATGTATAATCATATACATTAATATTATGTGTTCATGCATTATATATCAAATTAAAATGATAACTTTAAAAAAAAAAAAAATCTCTTCTTTATTTTAAGGAATTATTTTAAGCAAAACAAATTTTTATGTTAGTGGGTTATTTCATTGTTTTCATTTTCGTTAGTATGCTTTTGCGAAATTACCAAGCTTAAAAATTTTTTTTAGATGATTGTTGGTATCCATCACTATTATCATTAAGTATTATTTACACTTCCATTTAATTAAATTCAATTATTATTTAATTATAAATTAAAATATCTTACACATGCATTTTGCAGGTAGGATTGGTGAAGCTGCTTGAAAAACCCTTAAAATTGACGTTAGACTGTACATGTTTGGTATTGGAAACCATATCAACATTGATATCTATTCCTGCACGCCTTACAAAGATCTTGGTATTAGAACTAACAGAAAATACATTGGCGCTTATTGAAGTAAGTGGTTATATTTTATGTTGAACTGCAATTTTTGCTTAACAAACACTTAGATGGCATACTTCGTTTAACGTGTTTAAAAGACCATATGAAGTTCCTGTGCTACTCATATATATTACTATCTAACATATACATAACTAATTAACAAAACTTTAAAGCCATGGACAACATTTAGCCGTATTATACATCGGACAACAGTTAGGGATACCATAAAATACCTCCATTACTTTATGAGACAATGGGAAAACAATTTTCTATTTCATATGTAAATTCTATTTTGAGATGCTTTGAATTTAGGTTATCGACAAATACAGATGTTATTCAGATTTAAGGATGACAAATATATTGTCAATATATTTTGTGATTAATAAGGGATTTATTATCACCTAATATAACTGATTAGAATTACTAGTCCCATTTTCACTCATACACTGTGTTCAATTAAACACCTAATAACTCATTAAAAACAAATTTTACTTACCTGTGCGCTTTTTCCTTTGACAGCTTCCCGACCGCTTCCACTTGTTGTTCCTATAATACTTTCTATTATCTAACTGAAGTAGAAAACTGCATGAAAATGAGACTAGTAATTCTAATCAGTTCCGTTTGCTGTTATGTTAATTCTGAATCAATTCATTGATGATTTATTTGTTTTAGAGTAAAGTAATATGCAAACGCAGACATTATATATTAAACTCCAAGTATTCTTAATTATTAGGTATAAATATATCTTTCAGGTCTATACACAATACTATAAAAGAGCCCTACTTATTTATATTCTCTATAAATTGTCAAGGATGATGACTGGACTACTAATAAAGTGCAACTGCTAGCCTTCGAGGTTTTGACTTGGACACTGCAGCGGCAGAGTGGTAGGGACTGGTTCATCGGGCTCAGTGGTGTACCGAGGGTGATGAAGAAGCTTTACAGGACTTCTGACCCGGAGGTCCTCAACAGCGCCGGTCTGCTGCTGAGGATGGCGGTAGAACAGGATTCCACTCTTGCTGAGATATTCTTCAAAGCTGGTCTAGTCAGATGGTAAAGTTTTGCTGACTGAAATATATTTAGATAAATCTGATCAAGATTAAAACTGAAATCATTATTTTCCAAAGAAAGATGTTCTTATAGAACATAGGACAGCAGCAAAGTAAACGTTGAGTAAAACGACTCTTGGGGTCCGGAACACATACCTTCTTTCTTACATGACGTGGCCCCAAAAGTGCATCACAAAACATATAACTTTTAATCCTTTTAACAAAACTTTTAATCCTTTTACAGGACAAAAATTTGAACTGGTTGTCAATGGAGAAAAAAAGAGGGAATAAAGTAGGATGATCATTATCACATTAAAAAAGAGTTTACAATTCAGCACCATAAAAAAGAAAACAAATTCAATTGTTCACTTGAAGAATAGTTTGGGATGGGTGAAGATTGAGATTCATTAACATTGTTCAATCAGTCCAAGTGATACAGTTTAAAGTAGGTTTGGTGATTGTTCAATAGCTTTCAATAATGATCATTTCGATAATATCAACTATTAATGCTTGGATTTCAATTTCCATGAGGAAAAGTACAAATTTCTAACTAAAAAATAGATTTCTTTTGTTATATTTATTAGAGAATAATTAAAAAAAAAAATTCCTACAATAGTTTTAAAATGCTTTGAAAGTTTCATTGGACTTACCTGGAAAATACATCAATACAAAAAAATTAATTATTGTTATATATATATATATATATATATATATATATATATATATATATATATATATATATATATATATATATATACATATATATGAAAAAAAAGCCTTCGGGCTGAAGACCTCCTCCCCAAAATTAAATTCTGGATCCGCTAGTGCTCATCAACAACGCTTCTCTGATCCTCCTTATCAGCGGCTCATTGTCTTGCGGCTTTTCCATTGTCTAATTCCTATCTTCTAGAGATCATCCACATCATGGATCCATTGCAGCCTTGGCCTTCCTCTTATTCTGTTGGCATATGGTTTGCCACAAAATAGTTTTGTCTGGTATCTATCTTCTTCCACTCTTTTTTTCAGTCGAGAATCCAAAAACTGATTAGTTGTCAATTTCTGGAAAATTACTAATGACTGTTTTAAAAACTTGAAGGCTCATCGAACACAAGCATCTTTGGAAGAAGAGTCCTCGCTTGGAGACAGCCACGTACACAATTTTCCGTTACGACCTCTCACTCAAATTAGAGTACTGGGGCCGGTTGGATGTCACTGACATCACAGCGGATGGATTCTTCTGCCGAAGGTTGGATAGAGTCGAAAACTACGTTAACAGTTCAGACATCTGGAGAGAAGACATCAGTCCTAGACGTCCGGTGTACACTGTTGTTATGGACGCCGACGTTAGACCAAAAAAAGAGGATTCGATTTCTTTGTTTTCGTTCGGTAAGTTAGTGAATGAAATATTTCGGATTATAAAAACAAATATTCCATTTACAACTTCTAACTCTTTTCTTGCCTGTCATTAATATTAAGAAATATGTTTCCAGACAAGAAGGACGACATCAGCAGTTCCAGAAACTACCAGGATTCAGTCGCGTCCGATTCCAAATTGAGTTTCTATGCTACAAGACTAATTTCGAAGGCTTATGGACAGAAATCGAAACATACAGAAATTGATACAAGATTAAAAAAAATGTACACAAAGCTAAAACGGCAGTTAGAAGATATCTCTGAAGCAACGAGGCAAGTTGAATATTTATGTTAAAATATTTCCGGGATTAATTATACTAGTTATAAATTCGTATTGTACAATGATATTATGAGAGGTAGAACAAGATATAGTGATGATTGATTTAACTAATGACAAAAGTTCTGGTGTATTGCTTTTCCGTTCAAAGCAACAAATCATTAATACCATTAAAATAACAAAAGTCCTATTTATTATATCACTGGTTGATTATGGATTATACGATTCGTTGATAATGGATTGTAGAGTATTAGTTATTAAACTGTTATTTTCGATTGCAAAGTTTACTAAAACGGAATTAAAAGATTTGCACTGTCCGTCATAGACAGGTCAAACGTTGTCACACTGATTGTAAGTGGATGCTGTTGGAATATCACAAAGAGAAAATTCATCAAATTATTCACTAATTTAATTTTCTAAAAGGTTACTTGAATAAACGGCCAATAGATACATAATTATTTAAATATAATATCATATCTAGAGTTATTAAACTACAGCAAATGTATTTAAGGTTATAAACATATCCATGAAATATTTTTATATTTCACTTCTTCTTTTACACAAGTACAATTAAATAATATTTCAAACTTGGAAAAAAATTTAAAAGTTTACATTTAGTTGGAAAATTTCCCTTAATTTCCTTGAAAATATGTGATTTACGTTAAATATTATTAGTTTTCAAAAAATATTATTTATAATTTTTTCATCACTCTCCATTACCTTCTAAGACTTTCTATATTAGATCTTGTTTTTTTTCTTCTAAAGTTCTCAGCTTTCTAACGATATATTATACATATACCTCCTGACTAGTATTTCTGGTGATTCATTTTCGACCTGGATAAGCATTTTTATTTTTTTCTTCTTTATTCAATTATCAAATTCTTTCAAAAGTTATGTTTCGTAACTCCTAATAATGAGAGATAGTTAATTACTTTAAAGAAACCATATTAAAGGTACTTTAGAGGAAGACTCATATGAACATTGGGCAGTTAAGCCCTGTAAAGTGACATGAACAGGGATAAGACCTAAATAATGCTAATTACCTCTTAATTTACGATGATACACCGAGTTTAATCAAAATCGTTAGAACCGTTTTTGAGAATATTGTAAAAATGTGTTTCACCGTTGATTTAAAGTTTTTTGTATATACGGTGTGAATGTGTTCATTTATCAATATAATTATTGTCTCTGTGACAGAATATTATATGTCTAAATAAATAACTAAAAAAAAAATAAAAAAAATTTGTCCCTAAAAGAAATAAGATAGCTATTTCCAATTATAATATTTTTTGTAAACCGACCCGTTATCTGGAGTAAAGAAATTTTACAAAAAAATATTTTTGAATAAATAAAATAAATAAAATTTAAAAAAAAGAAGAAGAAATTGGTTGGTATATCATAGCCTAAAGAATTGGAAAAAACAAAGGCAAAAATTAATAACATAAATTTATTTGAAAATGTATAATTTTTTTTTCTATATTCCCAGGCGGTCTAATATTTTTCAAACTAATATCACCAAAAAAAAGTTTCATTGAAGTAGGCGACTACCACGTATGACATCACCTTCTTCTGTCCAACGATTATTCAATAATACTTTGCAACGGTGATATATTAAATAATCGAATAGGATTGATTTAGAAAATGATTTATAAAGTGCAAAAAGGTTTTTAAATCAAAACTTTAGAAAAAAAAATACATCCTATGCTAAAGTAGCCTATCTACAGATTTTGCTATTTTTATATTCACTTACATGAAATATAATAGATCTAATTTAAGAATATTTTGAACTCTCAGCAGACTGTCAGCCTCGTATAATGTAAGCATTTGACTGGAACGCAAGTTTTTTTTTTTAGAATAGAGAATCGGAAATGGCAAAAGAAAAAGATATAGAAAAATAAGTTCTTTAAGTGTTTTACCAACCATCCTATATTACTTGAATTATAAAGTTTTCCCACCACTTGGAATTAAGACTGTATAATTCTCAAATAGGAGACATTTTAAGGGAATCTTGCTGAACTAATTTTCTAATTATTTTTTTATAGAACAAGGAGAAATAAATTTTCAAGAAAATGGATTCAGGACAGAGTCAGTGCAATCGCTTCGGTAGTCGATGACGCCTTATCAGGCCGGTGCGACAAAAACGAATGCACTTACCACACATTCGAACTGCACATTCAGGAACTGAAGGTATCCATTGTTTAATGTAATGTTCATAGTTTTTCCAAATAATGTAAATCTTTGTTACTTAGGATTTAATGTTTTCTTTGTATTTACTCGCTATGTAACAAACTGTTTACATTTGAAGGATTATTGTTTGTTATGGGTATCAAATAAAAATGTTTTTTATCTTCTGTAACATTTTACAAATTAGAAATAATTCAGATTTTATTAAGATGGTCAAGTGATATTTCCGTATAATTTTGTTTCATGATTTTAAACTCGTAAAGGCCTCCTCTATGGATCTCTCAACAAATACGATATCTTCGGCAGACCTGACAGTTAATAACGAGTAATAAAAAAATGTTCCTGTATTTGCGATTTTCCCAGTGCACATTCTAGGTCAATGTTAAATAGGAGACATGCAATTCTCCTATTTAATAATCCCCTAATCCTAATAAACAATCCCCTTGGCGCAATACCTTATGTGTTTTAAAGTATTCAGACAAATCGCATTGAATTTGGACAGTGCATTTTACTTCTTTTATTGTCACACGTATTAGTTGCCCAAGTTTAGACAGGATACTGAGGTCTAACATATCCTGATCCCACAGGATGCTGTCATAAGCTTTGTGATAATTAATAAGCATGGTAAGAAGCATGGATAGCATGATAAGAAATCTGTGCCAGCCTTAGTTGAAGAAAATCCATGAAATAACTTTTTGAAAGTATTCCATCTAAACCATTCCTTTCGATGAGTAAAGATCTAGTAGTCAATAAAATGCCATCTTAATGTGCCTAATTCTAACTCTGTCGTTTGCAGTTAAAACTGAATTCTTCAGTGATCCCCCTGGGTATGCTGGAGGTGGGCCTGAAGCTGGAGAGGGCGCTACTGTTCAAGGTACTGGCGGACAGACTGGGTGTGCCTTGCGCGCTTGTGCGCGGCCAGTACGCGGTGGCCTGGATAGAAGTGGAGGTGCCTCCAATTGCCGGCGACCCCTACCCGGATCTGCCCACCGAGAAGGTGATCACCAACCACCTCGTCGACCTGGTCACCAGGCCCGGGAGGCTGGTAGCCCTCAACTGTCAAGAGGCCAGCATCTACTGCGGCGATCCCATGCCTGGAGTCATCGACCGTCTGCCGCGCTACATCTCCCAGAAGAAGCCAGCTTGGATGGTGGAGAAGGAGGAAGCTGAGGAAATCGCTCGTCATATTGAAATATACTAATGATTGTTTTTAAAAAATGATTTTTATTGTTGTAGCAAGAAACTGGATCGTGAGTTCTGAACAAAGCCATATTTGAAATAATATCTAGCCAATATAACTCTCAAAATTAGAATTAATATTAATAAGCAAACGTTTTGCACAGTGAGTCGAACCCATAATTCCGTTGGATATTGGAAGTAAAGATACATGATGTAAAGCTACTAAATAACGAGACATGCTGTGAAACATTGTCATTTCTTACACATTTACTACCCTCTCCTTTATCTCTTCAAAGCTCCATGCCAATATTTTATTGTCTGAAACAGAGCTGGAACTATTCTTCTGTCAGCTCCTTGAGGACGCATGCCGCTGTCTTTTTCACAGCTTCAACGTACCCAAATCTTGTTCCTTTGAATCAAAATTGACGAATTGTGTTTTTTTATTTATGATCCGGAGCGCCTATCCATGCATTGGAATAGCCCAATTTCAGCGTAATCCAAAAATGCATCAATACATTCTTGTTGAAAGACAAAGCGAAACGCGGCCTGAAGAAGCTGACAAAAGAAGGCTCTGAGCAATGTTTAAGGTTGTGGAAATTCGCCTGAAGCGTTGTAGGGATAGAGGAAGTGTGTATTGAAGATGTTAGTATGTACATTTGTATGAAATCAAAATAAAATGCTTTACAGCATCAGTCTCATGTTTTCTTTGTTTATGCATGGTTTGAAGGTACTTAAGGGTATTTTTCAAGAATTTTTTAAATAGTTATTAAATAATACCGAACCCTAGTTCTATGGTCTTTTATTAAAAATGATTATTTATAAATAAAATCAATTATTTCAAGGAAATAACTTATTAAACCCTTTCACCTTCTCTCAATGCTTCAATCCATTTTATTTATTACAACAACATTTCAGGTCAACTTTGCCCATTTTCAAGTTGAACTTGTATCTAAAATATTACAATTCATTTAATATCTATGAAAAATATGTAACAGTACATACAACAACAATCTATAAAATTCCAAAAAAATCCACTTAATGAACACAATTTCTACTTACATTCTTATCTTATCCTCACCTTCTTCAAATAATTATTTCATAACTATTAATGAAAAGTCCATTCCACAAAATGTTCTGTGTGTATGTGAACAGTCTAGCTCAAAAACGAAAAGTCGTACGAAACTGATATTGGGTATTTAAGAAAGTCATATGCCTTAGATGTGATAGCAACTTTTTCCTTAAAATCGGCCAACCGGAAGTGACACTTTTCATCATCGATGAAACACATTTTTACAATTTTCACAAAAATGGCTCTAATGATTTTGATTAAAATCTGTGAATCATTGTATAATTAAGTGGTCTTTGATATCATTTAGGTCTTATCCCCATTGATATGATATCAAATTCTTTCAAAAGTTATAGTCTTTTTTCATAACTCCTAACAACGAGAGACAATTCATTTTTTTAAATAAACCATATTAAAGGTATTTTAGGAGTACAATAGGCCTTTATGGTCGCGGTGCATTCTTGCCACAATAATAAAAAATAAAAAGCTATTTTAGTGGAAGACATATTGAATATACGGGCATTTAACTCCTGTAAGGCGACATTAATATACTGGATAATATTACCAGCTGGTATCAAAGACCACTTAATAATACACTGTTATACCAAGTTTGATCAAAATCGTTAGGGCCGTTTTACAAGAAAATCGTAAAATAGTGTTTAATCCATTATATAAAGTGCCACTTCTGGTTATCCGAACGTCTGAGGTATATACACACCTTAAATATGCTATTCACTTTCATACAACTTTTCGTTTTTGAGCTAGATTGGTCACATACGTACATACATACACACACAAACACACACACCCGCACAAACAGATAGATCATTCTGCGGTACTTGGTTATTTGGACTCAGAGAACCTCAAAACGTGTATTTCCGTTGAAAACTCTGATTCGAAAATATTCACGATCGCAATGCTTACCCTTACTATATATTATACAGGGTGTTTCGTAATTACACGGCACTAATTTAGGTATGTGTTCACTAACACAAAATAAACAGAAAAGTTCATATTAACATGTATCTCAAACTCATTTATTAAACAGATATCAAAGGTTAAAGATTTATTATTTATTATTATTACAACATTTAGAGTAACTGTTCAAAGGGGCCTCCGTTTTGTTGTATGCAACATTCGAATTCATGCTTCTCTGGCTCTTCGTATAGCTTCAGGATCACAAATTCATTCACAATAAAAGACACATAACTATACAAACAGATGAGCAACTACTGTCATTGCTTATCGTTCATTTGTTTGTCAGGTGATTAAAACCTGTTATTTGGTAGTAAACACTTTAAACTTTGTACAGTCATTCTTAATGTAGTAAATAAATAATAAATCTTTAACCTTTGATATCTGTTTAATAAATAAGTTTGAGATATATGTTAATATAAACTTTTTTGCTTATTTTATATTATATATATATAGGTAAGTGAAAGCAAAAAAAATATATAATATATCCGTACTATTTATTTTATATCTATTGAAGCACAAGTTCTTGCAGCTGCGTGCATCGATTATGAATTAACGTTGCACTAACTTTTCGAAACTTGGCACATTCTTCAGAACCTTCAACCCCCTTTGCACAACAAAAGACGAACGAGTCGAGAATTTTTATCGAGTATCTAATAAAAAAAAAATCCTTTTTAGGTATTAATGTATAGGACATTTTCACTAATATGATTTCTTAGGCATATATAGGAGACTTGGGCTACAGCAGCATACCAAACATTGTTTGTCAAGAAAGTTGTTTAAGACTACGTTTAAAATCTTCATTACACTAAATTTACTGTTGCAGAAGGAGATGTTGATGTAAAAAAATGCCAAGTGAAAAATGACAATGCAGGTAGTATCAATCTACCAAAAAAAAAAAAAAAAAAAAACTGGTAGAAAATTAAAAAAGACATTCAACCATGGACAACTTCATTCAGAAAGTCCAGATCAGAGGAATTAATTTTAACACGATGAGAGGCCTGGGTCCACCATTTTGTGAAACATGCAATACATCACTTAAACTGAAACACATTATAACAACTTGCAGACTATACTTTGACACTTGAAAAAAACACAATATACCATCCACCATGTTTGAAGCACTTGCAGATGATGTAGAGAAAATACAAAGTGTAATTCAATTCATAAAAGACATAAAATTTGTTTTTCTAATTTAGTTGCATTAAATGCCGCTAACAGGGAGCGGGGTAGCTCAATCGTAGGGCACTGAGCTTCCAATGCAAAGGACCCAGGTTCGGACCCCTGCTCATGGCAGAAAATTTATTTATCTGTTTCATTGGCCGTTGAGCGACCCTGGGTCGAGAGACCCTCCTGAGGCATACCCAGCCTCTATAAGGTGGGACCCTTAATTAAATAATTAATTAAGGGGGATAACCTGGCGGTTGAGCGTGATCTCGGTCATATCACCTCCTTGCACAACCGTTGACCTAGAAACAGTTCTTTCCCTATATAGTATTGAACCCCAGACCCTTCATGGGTTGTAGTGGTACAGGTTTAAATGCCGCTAATGAACCGGTCGTGAAGCTACGGAATATACAAATAAACTCTAGTCGTGAGCAATGCCAGGAATGGAACTGCAGTTTGATAGAGGTCTTGATAGAGTAATATGTCACTTTTATCCTAAAACCGGTAGGTGCCTGGCATTAAGTTGAAGTAGATCAGTTACAATTAAACAATGCTCTCATACCTCTTAACCTTTCATTGGACTGTTTTAGCTAATTTATTACAACGTATATCCAAGCACTTTTCGCTACATATTAACTTTCACCAACGGAGACTTAAAATAACAGAGAAATTTTATCTTCCTCACCATGATTTCTATGGGCATTAACACATTTGGAACTTCTTATAACTAGTCTCTCTCATAACCGGACACGGATACTGATTCAGTACTTTTTTCTTTAAAGTTTGATGCGTAATTATTTCATAGCGAATTCACCCACGTGGATGTACCCATATTTTAAATTTTGTTATCTATTTTTTACAAGCTTATGTAAACGTTTACTTTTGTTCCTTTATATGCATTTTCTTCATCATAATTTATATAAGGAAAAGAAATTTCGGTTTTCAATGGCTATTGCGGAATACACCTCTTCTAGGCCACTACAAAATTGACATGTTAGCAAATAAAATACCGTTTTACGGTTGTATATGCTTCAAACTTTATTGGACGAAAAATTGATTTTATATAAATTTCATTTATAATTCAAACCATCGCCATAAAATATATTGATTTATTTTGTATCTGACATTGGCCGTACTAACCCTTGGTGATACCATAATCGCTTAGATCGCCTACGGCGGAAAGAGCCGCAAGGCCGTAGGAAGTTTGCGAGATGGCAATTATAATGAGGAAACATAACAGAACTATGCGAGGTCTCACAAGCGTAATTTGAAGGCCTGCTGTAGAGTGGAATTTATAGATTCACGTAGTAATGAAATTAAAGATTTAAGTATACAATAATAATAATTTACTCTAAAATGTAATCATTGCAAGATTTCGAATTAGAAGATTGGATGCAACATTCAAAAAAACATCTTTCCGAGAGTTGGGAAAAAGGCTGGATAAATAAAAAAACTATCAATAATTGTAAAATGAAACAAGATTTCAACGAATAGGCTACAAGAAAAGACGAAAGTGTTGTTTTTGAATTGGACCCTCAAATTACTTACGGATTCCAATTCGGAGATCTCGAACACCCGTTTGCCAGAAGTGTAATAATACACCACAAACCCAAGAGTGTTACATATTCAAACCATTCAGAAGAAACTTAAGATAATCAAAAATCTTAAAACAAATGCTGATAGACGATGACTATTACAACAGAATATAAACACAATAGTTTGACACTGCTGGAGTGGAGGCGAAAACAAAATAAAATAAATATAATAATAAAAACTATATATATATATATATATATATATATATATATATATATATATATATATATATGAT